ATATGTCAGATGTTGATAACCTTCACATCAAGCCGGAAAATGCAGAGACTGATGTTCTTATTGTCAAAGATATCTCTTTTGATAGTGCCAAACAACTAGAGATAGAGAATTGGCAAAACAATGATGTTTTTGAGAAGGTAGCAGACAAAGGTCAAAAATGTGTGTCTACTAGATGGGTCTGTACACTCAAAGAAACACAGAGTGGTATTCTCCCTAAAGCACGGCTTGTAGCAAGGGGTTTTGAAGAGGTAAATAATAGTAGTTTACAGAAAGATTCCCCAACATGTGCATCAGAGTCTCTCAGAATGACATTAGCAGTTGCCAGTCAAAATAGGTGGAAAATTCACTCTATGGATATTAAGTCTGCCTTTTTACAGGGAATGGAACTCTCGAGAGATGTTTACATTCGGCCCCCACCTGAGGCTGAAGGAGACAATGTATTGTGGAAACTAAAGAAATGTGTATATGGACTTGCAGACGCTTCTCTTTACTGGTACAACAAGGTCAAAGAACTGATGCTGAACACAGGTGGAAAAATGTCTCAGGTAGATCCAGCTGTGTTTTTCTGGATGAATGAAAATTCTGAGGTCATTGGTGTACTGTCATGTCACGTAGATGACTTCCTTTGGGCAGGATCTGAGCAGTTTGTGACAAAAGTGATTCCTGTGGTAAAGTCTACCTTTCAAGTGGGGCGTGAAGAACATGAGAATTTTTCTTATGTAGGTATGGATATTGTCACAATTGGAGACAATATATTGGTACATCAGCACAGTTACATTGAAAATCTCCAACCAGTGTCTTTAAGGGCAGCTCGGGCAGTGCAGAGAGCTGCTCCTTTTTGTTTAGCTGTTGCTAAACAAACAAGGCCAGATGTTATGTTTGACACATGTAGCCTAGCATCTAACATTACAAATGCAACTGTCCAATCCATACATGAAGTGAACAAGGTAATCCGTAAACTTAAGTCAGAGAAGGTCACACTTAAGTTTCAGCCTTTAGGAAACAAAGATGATCTGAGTCTTGTGGTCTTTAGTGATGCTTCACTTGGCAATCTCCCAGATGGTGCAACTCAAGGAGGGACTTTAATTGTGCTTATGGGTAAAGGAGGCACGTTTTCCCCTTTGTTTTGGCAGTCTAAGAAGATCAGGCGTGTGGTAAGAAGCACTTTGGCAGGAGAAACTCTCGCTATGGCAGATGGCATAGACAACGCTATGTTTCTGGCCACATTATTTTCAGAGCTTACTATTGGTAATGCTAACAAGAATGCCCTTCCTCTTGTTTGTGTTACTGATAACCATTCACTGTTTGATGCTCCACAAAGCAGGTCACAGAAAAGAGACTGAGACTAGAAATAAGTAGCATTAAAGAGCTACTACATGCAAATAAAATCAGACAGATCTGTTGGTCAGAGACAAAGTCACAACTTGCTGATTGTTTAACCAAAAAGGGAGCTTCACCACTTAGGCTTCTTAAAGCATTAGACGAGGGCTCATGGTCACTGTAATTTCTTTTTCTGTTTACACAGGCTCTTAGCACTGTTGTTGTGTTGTTGTGTACATTGTTCTGGATGTGTGTATGTCTCTCAAGCACACTTAAATGTTTTTTTATTTTTAAAGAAAGGGGGAGATTGTTAACATGTTATGTTCTGTCGCGGGTTCTATTTCGTCACTACGCGGGAGCGTGAGGTGGAGAGCTCTTCCTGGTGTGGGAGATGGCGGTTGAATAAAAAATTGCTCTCTGCAACAAGAACTTTGTCTGTTGGAATTTACATGGTAGTGGGTAAATCTCTGTGCTTAAGGCTAACACTTAAGCACGGAGATTTCACATGTGTACAGATAAAGTAAAAATAACTTTGTTTAAAGCCTACTGCACACCTTTGCTTTGGGCAAGTTTATAAAGCTTGCGTGTAAGCATTCGTTCCCCGTAAGTAGCATAAGCTGCGTGTAGCTCTATAGTCAGTCGGTTGTGTTTACATCTAAAACCACAAGAAAATAAATGCATTGCTTTTTTGTCACATGAAAAAATAAGTTTGTGCAAGCCCTCAGTCGTACAGGGATTAGTCAAAGCAAAGGAAGGTTTCTCACAACCGACTGTGGCCCACTAGAGTTTTCTCTACGATGTTGGTAAAGTCGTTTCTGTAGAGTTTGTTTGGTTTCTCCAATATAGTGGTCAGTGCACTCCTCTTCACTACATTTAATTGAATACACCACATTGCTGTGTTTGTGTCTGGGTTTTTTGTCTTTGGAATGCACTAATTTCTGTCTTAACGTGTTGAAAGGTTTGAAATACACAGGGATTTTGTGTTGCCTAAAGATTCTTTGTAGTTTCTCTGAAACTCCCGCCACATCCTCCTACTTTCTTCTGTCTGTTGGACTGTGTCGCTGGCCTTTCTCGTCCTTTGGGCTTTAGTAAAAGACCACTTGGGGTAGCCACATCTGGAAAGTGCTCTTTGAATATGTTTGGTTTCTCTGTTCTTTACCTCCGAGCTTGTCGGGGACCTGGTGGGCTCGGTGTTGAAGCGTTCTAATGACCCAGAGTTTGTGTTGTAGCGGATGATTTGAATCAAAGGCCAGGTACTGGTCAGTGTGAGAGGACTTTCTGAAGACCTCAGTCTCTAATTGTCCGTTCTCAAGTATGATGACCTTACAATCTAGAAAGGCGAGTTCACTCTCCTTAGCATCCTCACGAGTGACATTTATAAAAGGGGTCAACCGAATTAATGTGTTCTGAAAATGGTTCCACTTCCTGTTTCTTTAACTTAACCCATGCATCGTCTACATATCGAAACCAACGGCTTGGCGCTGTCCCTTGGTAAGAGACCAGGGCTTGTTCCTCCAGTTTCTCCATATACAGATTGGCCACTATAGGAGAGACTGGGGAGCCCATCGCACAGCCATGAATCTGTCTAAAGAAGTTGCCTCTAAATTGGAAATACGTGGTGTTTAGACACATTTCAAGTATTTCACAGATGTGGTCAGCTGTTAGTTTTGTTCTCTCCCCTAGTGTGGCGTCTTTCTGTAGGCTTTCTCTTACAGCCTCCACCGCCTCTGTAATAGGGACCGACGTAAAAAGCGATGTCACATCAAACAAGACCATTGTCTCATCTGTGTCAAACTGAAGGTGTTTGATTTCATTTACAAATTCTTTTGTGTTTTCTATGTGATGGTGGGTGTTACCCACCAAAGGAGCCAGAATGGTTTTGAGGTGTTTTGCCAGGTTGTAGGTGATAGAGTCTATGCTACATACAATAGGCCGAAGTGGAAAGTTTTGTTTGTAAGTAAGTAAGTAAGCTTTTTATTTATATACCGCCTTTTCACTGCACATCGGAGTCTCAAAGCGGTTTACAATTGTTATTTTATTTGTTTGTGTATTTTTGGGAGTCCATAAATACTGGGAATGGTGTCTCCTGGGTAAAGTTTGTAATATAGTGGTTTTTCAATAACGCCCTCTTTCAATAAGCTCTGAAGGATGTCTATAATCTTTTTCCTAAACCCATTGGTAGGGTCCCTCTTCAATGGCTGGTACGTGTTGGTGTTCAAGAGTAACTGATTAACTTTGGCCTCATAGTCTGAGGTGTTGAGGATAACTGTGCATCTGCCTTTGTCAGCTGGTAAAATAGTTATACTCTCATCCTTTTGTAATGCCAATAATGCTTTTTGCTCATCTAATGAGACATTGGATTGTGGGGGCTTAGCAATTTTGAGTGTTGCAGAGACTCTCAGTCTGAGGGCCCCTGCCTCACTCTCAGTTAGTTTGTTGTTTCTAATGGCTGCTTCTGCTGCTGTGATGTATTCAATTGTAGGAATATCTTTTGGGGTTATTGCAAAATTTAGGCCTTTAGTAAGAACATCTTTTTCCGCTTGTGATAAATGCCAATCGGACAGATTTTTGACCCAATTCTCCCTGTCCACACCTTGTCCAATTTCACTTTTAGAATGTTGAAAATAATTATGGTTTTGGAATTTTAGAAATTTGCCTATCTGACGCTCTTTGGCCTTCTTGTGATGGTTCAGTTGGGCAGTTTCCGTAAACGTCCAAATCCTCTGAAAAAACTCTGGTGAGACTGCCAATTCCAATTAGTGCTTAAGGCACTCTATCTCATCCTTTAGGTTTATAATCTCTATGTTAAGTCGTCGAATTCTTAAATTGAGAATCTTCATACAGTAGTTTTGTTGTATTTTTCTTGCCAACTGGCCTGTTTCTAATGCTTTTTGCTTAAACATTTTGGGAAAAGTTTACTCTGGCTACACCTAAGATTAAACCTAAAATGATTTCTGGCGTCTGCTAATTTTCTTTTGATTTTCTCCAACCCGCGAGCCAAGACCAGGGCGTCTCTCCCAAAGTTGGCAACGATAAGTTTGTGCAAGCCCTCAGTCGTACAGGGATTAGTCAAAGCAAAGGAAGGTTTCTCACCCATCATCTGTACTTCTTAGCAGGTTTTCCCGACGTTTCGTCCTCAATCCAAAGGACTTCTTCAGGAAATGAATTCTCAGACTGCGCGTTGGAGATTTATAACCTATGGGTGTGGTTAGCCACACCCTAATCCTGATACTAACTCCTAAACAATCTAAGGTCTGTTTGATGTAGAAGGGAGCGGGTCTTACGACCCTGCTGAGGCTAACGACCCTAACTCATTAGCATGTCACAGACCTATTGTCTGCTGGGATTGCTCAAGTGGAGTGCAGGTCTCACCCCTCCTAACTCATTAGAATGTCACTGACCTTGTCCCAAGTTAGGGCGTTGTTTTTAGGATCTTTACCTTACCTTCTAAATGTCTGAAATTGGTGATTTTTGTAGCGATTAAAACAATCGATGGGTTGGAAAAACCAGAGACAGATCACGCTCGCAACAGGTAATCTAATAGGAGAGCGTGAGTTTATGCCCACTTTTTTGAGAATACTACCCACAATGCCGTGCGGTCGAGCCGGAAGCTCGGAACTCTTGATCCCTGTATAGTCTCTCTCCTGCTCTGGTCTCTCTCTCTCTCTCTGGTCTTTCACCTATGTTCCCACTGGGTCCTGCCTGAGGATCCGGTCGTAGTGAGTGACTGTCCTGACCGATGAACTCCAGACTGTCCTGCAGCCTGCAACACACACACACAGACACACACACGTGAGAATTTACAAAGAGACAGAGGCAGACACGCACACACACGGTTACACAAAGACACACAGACTTACGTGTTGAGGCTGCCACACACACTGCCGCCGGTCCGAGCTGTGAAAACTTTACTCAGCATCAACTGAGGAGGCGATCTGGGAGAGAACACACACATGCACAATAACACACACAAATAAAAGAGACATGGGTCTCAATAGGACTCAATAGGAGTCCTATTGGTGTGGTCTGAACGTTACATACCCCAGCTTTAAACTAAACCATAAAGACTTTTTCATACAGACACATCTTCAGAAACAACACAAGTCCCTCGCCCTGGTACCTGATCTGATGGATTTTTAGCGTTGATCCTTTGTAACTCATGGCAACAGATCCAAACATCATCTCGCCGAGCATCACCACGTCCGACGAGCAGCGCGAGCTCTGGAACAAGCAACAGACAAGTTAGTAACACCATGGATACCTCCCATCAGGAGCGTCGGAGGGGCTGTGCGACCTGTACCATCGCACAGGGCCTTGCACCACACAGGGCCTCGCTTCCTTACCTTTTTTTCATATAAATACACTAGTTCAAGTGTCCCCAAAGGGTGGACTGCGGTCCAGGTTCGGACTCCTAGACCCCTTTCTCTGGACCTCTGTGATTTTTGGTTGTTCAAAAGTACATTATTACAAGTAAAGCAGATTTTTCACCTCAAGCGATTTGTAAAAAGGCAGGCACGAGGGCGGCTATGTACGTAGCGAGTCCTCCGGAAAAAAACTCCACAGAGCTGTATAACTTGAGCAGTGTCTGAGTGAGGTACGAAGAAATGGGAATGAGCCCCGTGTACGGAGAGATGGATACTCGCATCTTCTGTGTGAGGAGGAGAGAGGTGTGTGAGCAGAGGAGGAGGAGGAGGAGCAGCGAGACAGGTGTGTGAGCAGAGGAGGAGAAGGAGGAGCAGCGAGACAGGTGTGTGAGTGCTGTTATTGCCAATGTTTAGTCCGAATGTCCACATCAAAAATATATTATAAAAGGCATTAGCAAACACTGTATGCCCAGCTTTAGCGCCCACTGCGAGTGCAGAGGATTTTGGGCATAAAACGCCTTGTTGTGGTCAGAGTGTGTGGAGGAGGAGGAGGAGCGTATAGGTTGTGGTCAGTGTGTGGAGGAGGACAAGGAGGAGGAGCGTATATGTTGTGGTCAGAGTGTGTGGAGGAGGAGGAGGAGAAGGAGCGTATGATGTTGTCAGTGTGTGGAGGCATGGCAAAAACGTTATTTGATGAGAAAAATGCGCCTCAAAGCCATTTTGCCGCATTTTGCCGTAATCTAACTATTAGAAGACGAAGAAGACTCCTTTTGGTTCAATCTTTTGAGTTGCTATGCCATTTTGCCACAGGACGAAAGAGCCATGTCAGCTAAAAAGACCAATATCATAATGCCAAGCGTCGTAACAGTGTGTGTGTGTGTGTGTGTGTGCGTGCGTGCACGTGCCCGACAATGCATTGGAGCGAGGACACGCGGCTGCGCGCGTGCTGATCTCTTCACGCACCGCGCGAGGTGATGCCGAATTCATGTCAAAGATTATAACAGGGAAAACTTTCCTCAGATCTAGGAAAAAAGTGTTCAAGTTCACACAGGGCCTCGCACCCCCCTTGCGAAGGGCCTGCCTCCCATACAAAGTATACAGATGGACAATGCTAACACAGACTGTATACAGAGGATATACAAAGGGACAATGCTAACACAGACTGTATACAGATGGACAATGCTAACACAGACTGTATACAGATGGACAATGCTAACACAGACTGTATACAGATTGACAATGCTAACGCCCTAGCTCAATGAAGCCCAATAAGGAAGTACTCAAGGTGAGGTTTGGCTCCAACCCTCTCGGGCTCCTATTGACTTACATGGACAAGTAAACTCCTCTAACTCAGTAACTGTTTGAATGGGCCTAAATCTGTGGTTTAACATTCTGACATTTTATTTTCTAGAATGTTTTTAAAAATCTAGTTATTAGCCCTAACACCTGACCAATCAAATGTCTTCTGTCAGTGAATTTGGTTCAGGTTGCGAGACTCCTGATTGGCTCCAGATTGTCGTGCGAGTTCTACCTGGAAGCGGAGGCCTCCTTGCTCTTTGGTCTCTGTGGAGGAGGAGGAACTGTCCAGAGAGCTGCTACTGCCTCCTGTGGACCGCAACTGGCAGCACTTCCCAAAGATCTTTCCATCAGTGTTCTGAGAAACACAGAGAACAGTTACAGTCCTGGGTCTACGGCCTCAGTCCCGGGTCTACGGCCTCAGTCCCGGGTCTACGGCCTCAGTCCCGGGTCTACGGCCTCAGTCCCGGGTCTACGGCCTCAGTCCCGGGTCTACGGCCTCAGTCCCGGGTCTACGGCCTCAGTCCCGGGTCTACGGCCTCAGTCCCGGGTCTACGGCCTCAGTCCCGGGTCTACGGCCTCAGTCCCGGGTCTACGGCCTCAGTCCCGGGTCTACGGCCTCAGTCCCGGGTCTACGGCCTCAGTCCCGGGTCTACGGCCTCAGTCCCGGGTCTACGGCCTCAGTCCCGGGTCTACGGCCTCAGTCCCGGGTCTACGGCCTCAGTCCCGGGTCTACGGCCTCAGTCCTGGGTCATTGGCTAGTATGTGTTCGTTTTTATTACATTTCCTGTGTTGTTGTTGTTTGATTCTCTGATCTGTTGTTGGTGAATCCACAACTTTATAAAGTCCTCAGAGACAACTGCTGCTGTGGTTTGGAGCGAGACACAAATACATTGAATAGAATTGACCATTGTTTGTAGTCTGAAAGTTACGTTCCTCAGCTTTAAACTGTTGTGTAACTGCGGCTGTGAAGGAGCGTATTCTTGGATTAACGACCGACGGCACAAACCAGTGAAACCTGAGACTCATACACACAGTCACATGCTGCATTCATACAGAGACCAGAGGGAGACCAGAGGGAGACTAGAGGGAGACTAGAGGGAGACCACGGAGAGACCAGAGAGAGATCACGGAGAGACCATGGAGAGAGAGCAGAGTACTAAGACCAGAGAGAGAGCAGAGAGAGACCAAAGAGAAACCAGCAAGAGAGCAGAGAGAGAGAGACCAGAGAGACTATAGTTGGGCCTCACGGCTGCAGCTCTCTTTTGCAAACACAGTAGTACTTCATTTCCACAGAAAACGCAAAGAGCATGTGATGTCACAGAACAGCTCATCACTATCAGATTCGTTCCTCATTTCTCACGACTCGTGATCCGCGGTGTCGTCCTGGTCTCACATTGTACACTCTCACTGCTCTCAATTCTAACTTCCCTCTCACACGCGGCCTGGATCAAAACCAGCCTTTATAACCCAATACTAGATTTGTACATATTAGACACAATATAGCAGCAGTACAAAAAAATATGATATGCTCGACCTCTCTCTGGCCTCCTTTCCTCCCTCTGGCCTGCCTCCCTCTGTCCTCTGGCCTGCCTGCCTCTCTCTCTGGTCTCTCTCTCTGGTCTCTCTCTCTGGTCTCTCTCTCTGGTCTCTCTCTCTGGTCTCTCTCTCTGGTCTCTCTCTCTGGTCTCTCTCTCTGGTCTCTCTCTGGCCTGCCTGCCTCTCTGGTCTCTCTCTCTGGTCTCTCTCTCTGGTCTCTCTCTCTGGTCTCTCTCTCTGGTCTCTCTCTCTGGTCTCTCTCTCTGGTCTCTCTCTCTGGTCTCTCTCTCTGGTCTCTCTCTCTGGTCTCTCTCTCTGGTCTCTCTCTCTGGTCTCTCTCTCTGGTCTCTCTCTCTGGTCTCTCTCTGGTCTCTCTCTCTCTGGTCTCTCTCTGGTCTCTCTCTCTCTCTCTGGTCTCTCTCTCTGGTCTCTCTCTGGTCTCTCTCTGGTCTCTCTCTGGTCTCTCTCTGGCCTGCCTGCCTCTCTGGTCTCTCTCTCTGGTCTCTCTCTCTGGTCTCTCTCTCTGGTCTCTCTCTCTGGTCTCTCTCTCTCTGGTCTCTCTCTCTGGTCTCTCTCTCTGGTCTCTCTCTCTGGTCTCTCTCTCTGGTCTCTCTCTCTTGGTCTCTCTCTTTGGTCTCTCTCTTTGGTCTCTCTCTTTGGTCTCTCTCTTTGGTCTCTCTCTCTGGTCTCTCTCTCTGGTCTCTCTCTCTGGTCTCTCTCTCTGGTCTCTCTCTCTGGTCTCTCTCTCTGGTCTCTCTCTCTGGTCTCTCTCTCTGGTCTCTCTCTCTGGTCTCTCTCTCTGGTCTCTCTCTCTGGTCTCTCTCTCTCTCTCTCTGGTCTCTCCATAAAGTATAATGGTAGGACAGGGGTTCTCACTGTGATGTTGGGCTCCTCGGCTCCTCTCTTCTTGTTGGAGTCGAACAGCACATTTCTGCCTCTGCGTTCACAGTCCTGGTAAACCAGCAACCGAATCTGACAGGGCTCCAGCTGAGGCACTGGCCAGCTGCAAACACACACAAACATGTTATACTATACCAGCTGCAACACAACAACACACAAACACACTTTATACTATAGAAGCTGCAACACAAAAACACACATGTTATACTATACCAGCTGCAACACACAACAACACAAACACACACATGTTATACTATAGAAGCTGCAACACAAACATGTATGTTTTAAGGCTGTAAAACTCCTCAGACTTTATACATTTTCCTAACCACTTGAACTCACGACCGCTGAAGTGAGAGACAAGAGAGAAACCAGGGAGAGTCTAGAGAGAGAGACCAGAGAGAGTCTAGAGAGGGACCAGAGAGAGTCTAGTAAGTAAGTAAGTAATGTTTAATTATATAGCGCATTTTAAGGTCACCCAAAGCGCTTTACAATGTTCAGAGTTGAGATATTGTTCCAATCATTCCACACACTGTGATGACGGAAGCGAGTCGCCGAACACACTGGCGCATCAGCTCCCAATCAAGACCATCCATTTACTCTCTCATCTACATTCATACCTATTGTGCGCCCCTCACTCCTAGTGAGTCAAGACTCTAGAGAGATTCTAGAGAGAGCAAGAGCAGAGAGAGTATATGGAGAGCCTAGAGAGAGCCTAGGGAAGAGTCTAGGCAGAGAAAATTTAGAAAAAGAGACCAGAGAGAGTTGCTGTATACTACAGCATGAAAAGCATGTTGTAAAGAAAGCAAAAATCCCACAAAATAGTCTGAAACAGCGAGGACTCGAAAGGTGATCCACTGGGTCTGCTGTGACCACAGACAGTTTACACTGATGCATAAGGTTCAGTCACTGATCACAAGCTCATAACATTGCGTAATCAAGGAAAAAATATCTATTCAACAAAACTGTTGAGCACGTTACAGATTCTACACCCTCAGTCCTGATTCTACACCCTCAGTCCTGGGTCTACACAGCCTCAGTCCTGGGTCTACAGCCCTCTCTCAATATGAGTCTTCCAGGTTTAACTGTTCCACAAACACATCACTAACACTGACATTTGTAGAGTTTCACATTTGGGGACAAATTTAGCTCCGCTCCAGAGACCAGGGACGGACAGATGTATGAGACACAAGTGCTAGAGATGAGAGACCAGAAGGAGACCAAAGAGAGACCAGAGAGGGACCAGAGAGGGACCAGAGAGGGACCAGAGAGAGAGGGACCAGAGAGAGAGGGACCAGAGAGGGACCAGAGAGGGACCAGAGAGGGACCAGAGAGGGACCGGAGAGGGACCGGAAAGAGGCCAGAGAGAGAGCGAGAGAGAGTATGTTGCTGTGACTTAAAGGGATGTTGCTGATTATTACTATTATTATGTTTTTAGAATGATCAATTTTATTTTCATTTTTTTGCTGCTACTGGACACCTGAATTTCTCCTACGGGGATCAATAAAGAATCTATCTATCTACAAAGACTTAAAACTTGGTTAAGGTCAACCATGACACAGAAACGCCTCAACCATGTCATTGTAATTCATGTTCATCAAATGTCTCGACAAACTTGACCAGTTTGTCAGCATGTTTGTCAGTGAACATGAAAGAAGGAGACATGCTTTTGGAAAGTTTAAATAACAGAAATGAACAAAAGAAAGAGTTACGTTTACATGTTGTAAATGGTTTGTTCAGCCATTGTTCTTTTTAGTTTTTTCATGTGTTGGCAGCCAAATAACTCAATCAAGAGAGGCATGAAACCTTGGAAATAAAGTGTTTTACTGACATACTTTCAACATTTTTGTTGGTGTTGGGTTTACTCCTAGTCCTGCTAGCTGCTGATTGAAATTTAAGTATTTGGAAGCTCATAGCTTTTTACGCTCAATATTTAAGCCATCTTGTGGACAAAGTTAGAATTAATTCAACACAAAACTCAGAAGCTCTGATCCAATTGATTTTGTTATAACTATTAGAAAAAAGCATAAACTGCCTCTCATTCTGTCTACAGCGGAGTTTAGTATAGAAGGCAACAAACTATTGCAAATACAGTTTATGGTTACACAAAAAATTCAAAGGGAGAAACCCTGGACCCTGTGTCAATGGGTGTAGTCTCAGACCGTAGTGAATGTGCCCACCAAGTTTGAAACCAAACCTGCACCATTGCTTTCATGGTTTCCTCAGCATCACCTTTTGAAAAAATATATATCAATTGTGTTTTTAGTGCCTTTACATCTTATGTATTTATTCATTAGTTCATTTGAAAATAGGACAGTACACATTAATCAACAGTTCTGTTAATGTGTCTGTTTTTAGCTATGGAGCTAGTTTCCAATAGTAGTCAGAGGCAAGGTGTAAAATGCCAACACAAAATGACAGAAAAGAATGTACAAGAAATTCAGAAAATAAAAAAAGATAAAAATCCATTGCTTTCTTCAAGTAGTGAATGTTAAAGGATTAAGACACTAGTTAATATAACCAGATTAACCTTATGTCATTGTGATCCAGTGTAGAAATTTTATAGGTTTTTGGGGCTGCGTTGGTTCAGATAAAAAAATGTGCTAATAACCTTGTGTCATGGTAAACCTATACATGGCTGGACTAAAATACTAGTTAACACACTAGTTAAACACTAGTTAATAACCTTGTGTCATGGTAAACCTGTATAGGCTGCTGGACTAAAAAAACTAGTTAAGACACTAGTTAATAACATTGTGTCATGGAATGACTGCAACCGTTTAAGGGGCAGCCAGTTGTGAAAAAAACACTAGTTAAAACACTAGGTAAAGCCTTATGTAACAATAGGTCTGTGTAGGGATATAGTCGCTGTTGGTCGGTTTCAGTCCGGTACCTGGGCATCGCAGCGGTGCCAGTCTTCCCCCTCTGTCGCTTCCCTTACTGTGGTCGCCTCAGACCCAGAACTAAGAATAGCTTTGGACTGAATTCACACAACAACATGAGACAGTCAGGTGATGGAGCTGGACAGTGGACGGGGGAGAGGGAGAGGGCTGTGTGTGTGTGCGTGTGCATGTGTGTGTGTCTGTGTGTAGTAGATGGGACACAACAGCAGCTCTGTGCTTATGGCCCTGTCTCTTTGTGCTGCTGCTGCTGCTTAATCCGTGGACAATATAAGAAGAAAACAACCGGCTTTAAAAGAGACATGTCCTGCGCATTATTGTGGTTTTAAAAAAGTTTTTAAACTACGCTACAATATTGTTCCGGAATCGTTAGAGTAAAGGAGAACACGTTCTGTCGGTAGGTTCCTGTTTTAGAAATGTGTTTCAGCCGGAGGATAGGAGTCAATGCAGGTCTGTAGGAAGGCGAGTGATGAGATTTAGACCAGAAAGAGAGATCAGAGAAAGAGGGAGAGCGATCAGAGAGACACCAGAGAGATCAGAGACCAGAGAGAGAGAGACCAGAGAGACCAGAGAAAAAGAGACACCAGAGAGAGCTGTCTTTGGTGCAAGGCAGAACCATGAGGACAGAAATTCAAACACAGAAGCTCTGCTCTGAGACATCTGGTGACAGCTTCAAAACTGTTTCATTCTTTGGAGGCTTTAAAACTGATTATTATTAGTTCAATAATGGATTATTACTATTAGTTTAATAATGGATTATTATTAGTTCAATACTGGATTGTGGTGACGTCTGATCCACAAAGAACAGCTGTGTCAGCGTTTGTACAACACTTTATGATCCTGTTAAACTAGTGTTTCTCAAACTGTGAACCATGGCACCTCAGTGATCCAGTATCAGCTGTGCTCAAGACCATGAGACCAGACAACCATGAGACAACAAAACCATAGGAGAGGATCAGATTTTAAGCCTGTGATTGATTTTCTATCAAATAAAATGTATGAGACTCCCTCTGGTCTCTACCTCTTTAGCAGTTGTGATTTACCTTAATGTGGACTATCACCCCTGTCATAAACTTGGGACCAGAAAGAGAGAGAGGCCAGAGAGAGAGAAGACTGGTTTTACAGCAGTTTACTCAGCATCATGTGGTTGTGTTGACTCTGCACTCCCATGACTCACAGATAAGAACTCAACATGTGACACACACACACACACACACAATTGATCTGAAGCAATTGAAAAGAATGACACAGGCCTCATTAGTGCCCCCAATGTGGAATAATTTTATATTTTCTGAGGAATGTTGCACAATGGATTAATTTAAAAAAATGGAGAATGTAGATGAGAGAAGGACATTCAGATATTTAAGTTTATTGTCAAACTGGCCATGAAAAAATAGATAAAAACGGGACCAAAATTGAGCCAAAAAAATTGCTTCCCTGACCGAATCCCAAACCAATGTTATAACACTACTACTACTACGAGTTGTACTACTACTACAACTTCTACTGCGAGTACTATTAACTAGTACGAATACTACTACCACTACTACTGTGTTTCCCAGAAGACCCACTTAAAAATAGTCCTGACCTCAGCGTGATGATAGTTTTACATCAGCTCTAATATAACAGAAGAATGGCTCTAAACGCAAGGAAGGCTCTGTGGAGAAACCAGAAGGAGAGCAGTGAGAGAGACCAGAGAGAGAGAAGAGAGAGAGCAGAGAGAGAGAAGAGAGACCAGAGAGTGAGCAGAGAGAGAGCGAGCAGAGAGAGACAGAGCGAGCAGAGAGAGAGAGAGCGAGCAAAGAGAAGAGAGAGCAGAGAGAGAAGAGAGAGCAGAGAGTGAAGAGAGTGAACAGAGTGAAGAGAGTGAACAGAGTGAAGAGAGAGAGCAGAGAGAGAGAGCAGATACCAGAGAGAGAGAGAGCAGATACCAGAGAGAGAGCAGAGAGTGTAGAGCAGGGGTGTCATTCATACGGCCCGCCAAGAGATTTGACATGGCCCGCGGCTCATTTATGTAAAAATATTATAATAATACATTTTAAAAAGCCGCTCCGCGACGCGAGGCAACGCGAGGCTCCGCTCAGGGGTGAGTCCAGTGCGTCTGTAGTGGCTCCACCAGAGCGGTGCTGGAGGAATAACATCTTAAACTACAAGACTCGGCGAAAAATACGGCACTTTGAGCGGAGAATAGAGAAAACAGAAGATAAACATGTCTGGCCCTGAAGACACAGCAGTCTGTTTGTGCCCAGAGCGAGAGGTTAGTGCTGCTGCTGTAAAGGGAAGCTACCTGTGCTAACAACATTAGCATTAGCATCGCAGCCGCACAGTGAGAGAGAGTTTGTTACAACTCTCACAGGCTGCAGACATGGTCTGAGAAACCACTCGCTTTTACCAACATGTTGCTATTGATAAGAGACTGATGTTACTGATGTCACATATTCATTTGTGGTGTTACTGAAACTATCAAAGGAGTTTTGAGCGCTGCTGCTGGTGCTGCTGCTGGTTCTGCTGTTGTTGCTGGTGTGTTGGACAGTGTGGACTGGTACCGATGGTAAAAACAGGTTTAGTGACAAAGCTGCAAATGGAGGTGATGATTTTTGGACATTTGACTGTATTTTACACAGAGACACTGCTGCAGTCGTTAAGAATGGATCACGTTATGGAAGTTGTTTTATTCATTTCAAGTGAATCATGGTCAGTTTGATGCTTTCTCTGTGATAATAACAAAACCATGGACCTTACCACACTGAAGATGGTTAATGTGATAATAACATAACCATGGACCTGACCACACTGAAGATGGTTAATGTGATAATAACATAACCATGGACCTGACCACACTGAAGATGGTTAATGTGATAATAACATAACCATGGACCTTACCACACTGAAGATGGTTAATGTGATAATAACATAACCATGGACCTTACCACACTGAAGATGGTTAATGTGATAATAACATAACCATGGACCTTACCACACTGAAGATGGTTAAACTGAGGTGCTGTGTTAAAGTGCTTTTTTCTGTCTACCTACTTTACCTTTGTGAGCAAGTTTTCTCTGTAATGAGCCTTAAAACAAAGCTAACATACAAATATTAATATACATATTGTGAAATACCATTTTCAATGTAATATTGTAAATACATTACATTATTTGCACTATGGAAAACTCACTGTTACATTTAAGTTTGTAACAGAAAACTGAGTATTAAAGGATAGTGTTTTAAAGGAAGTTTTAAATAAATGTGTTTATGTGCACAAAAAGTTGGACTTTGTACCGTTTTTGGATATTTTTGTAGAGCATCTCCTGGTCCGGCCCACTTGAGATCAGATTAGGTTGTATGTGGCCCCCGGACCAAAATGAGTTTGACACCCCTGGTGTAGAGAGAGAGTGCAGAGAGAGAGAGACCACAGAAATACAAATACACCAATTCTAGTAAAACTACAGCGACCCGCTCATGTCTCCACCGTTCCCATGGAAACGGGAAACAAAGATACAGCAGAATGAGAATCTGATTCCAGACACGTGTCCACCACAGGATGACGGTTCATTACTCTGCATTCTAAAACACTCAATAGTCTCAAGATTGTGTTTCATGGACAATAATAATGCACATATTTCCTCTTTAAAAGTCTGCGTCTCTGCGAGGATGATGTTTATGTCCAGACGGAGTGTGTGAAATGTACAGTATGCTCTGAGGTCTGGTCATGTGAGAAACTGGAGAGGTCTGAGCTGCAGCCGAGAACCAATACAAGCCCATTAGAGCATTAAAGGGGACGTGCCAGGCTGTGTCCAGGTCAGTCTCTGGTCAGTCTGGTCTCTCTCTCTCTCTCCATGGTCTCCCTCTATCTGGTTTCCCTCTGGTCCCTCATTCTCTCTCTCCCTCCAGTCTCCCTCTCCCTGGTCTCCCATTCTCTCTCTCTTTCTGGTCTCAGTCCTGGATCTACTGTCTCAGTCCTGGGTTTCTGAGTGGCTCCTTGCCGATGAAGGAGGGTATAAGGACATTGATGATCCGGGACATTTTTTCACATTGAATAACTTTTATATTTCAGTATTCCACATTACGACCACAAACAAACTTATATATTATAACACGCCCACACAGCTTTGTTTTGGGCTCTCCCTCAGCACAACGCTCGCAGTGTCTCCGTCCTCAAAAGACACTAACAAAAAAATACAGCTGCAGACAATTGGTTCAAAATGAGAGCAGTCACACTTTACACCGAGTTTCACGTCATTAAAGCTTCACACAGAGCCATGACACTGAAACAAGCTGCACATGTCTGTATTATTATGTAACAAAGCTGAATTCGGATACAAGGAATATAGGAGTATTTTCCCACATTTTAGGAAAGAACTGCCCTCTCCACTGTTTAAACAAAACTCTCTGGTCTTATTTGACGAGCACGTATCACCAGAATAATTGACATTTGGGAGGACCAATAGTCTTAATGATCCACCCGGAGGTAAAAAAAAAATCCTCATGCATAACGTTAAGCCTCTGAGGCAAAATAGTGACGCGTATGTGCTAAGGCAATAATCTAGCTCGCACTGAAGTGACACTAGGAGAAACACATGCTTACAGATACGTGTAGGAAAAAGGGGATATAGTGATTAAAGAAGTTTAAATTTGTCAACAAAACGAGAGTGCGCGTGCAGCCTCTCTGCTAGTCTCAGTGATTAGCTTTAGCATGCTAACAACAGTCAACAAACACCACGTCGCTCACGTAAGCTGCATTTGTTATCGCGTAACACTGCGTCAAATGACAAACCGCTGGAAGGCTCTTTTATCCACATGGATAGGCTGAGTTTGCACCAGGAGCAGGACGTAGATAACGAGATAAAACCACAAAAGATTTCCAAAGAGTCTGGTACCTGAACGCGGGCTCATCTTTGCTGCATCTTTGCGGCGGTGAGGAAAATGAGTTGTTTTTCTTATTAAAAAGTTTGTGGAATAACGTGGGCGGCATAGTGTGGTGAGATGAACCCGGGAGAGAGGTCCAGCTTCGGCCAGACCGCCTCACATCGAACCCGAGAGGAGACTATCCCGTGGATCTGCCCCCATGGGCTGCCAGAGTCATATGACACATTAGTCACAGCGCGGTTGCCGATCTGCCCAGATACCCCGGCCAGCGCGATTTTCTGATTGGCTGAACGCGACAGGGGAAAATCCTGATTGGCTTGTATTTTTGTACGCTGTCACATGTTTGTGTTATGTCGGGAATCTCGAGACGAAGTGACTAAAAGACATATTCTGCAATTCCACTTTTCTCTCTACTAACACGACCTTGAGTAGTGTTTGTATTCTCCATGCTAAGATCAGGAACTTCTGACAAACATACGCATAATATTGATAGCGTTTTTCTTTCACAGAATTATTCATTCACTCCATACACTGTGGTGATAAACTACAATCAAGGCCACTGCTGCCCTGGGGCACAATGACAGAATAGAGGCAACCAGTCTGTACCATCAGCCCCTTCCACCAACCAGATACATTCGAATATGGGAAACATGTTTTGCCCAAAGACAATGCAGTACGGCACTTCAAAGCCGCAACCGTTTTTCCTCAGAGGTCTCCCATCACAGCACTAACCAGGCCCGGCCCTGCTGAGCATCAGATGTCTGACAGGATCTGGGTCCACCTGCAGGAATTTCGTGCTAAATAAGGCGTGAGCCGTTTTGTCACATGGGTGATGTGGTCGTTTCAGGACAGGGGTGATGTGGTTGATGGAGACAGTGTGTGTGATGATGCTGTTGTAGTTTGTGAAGACTTTTTTGAAGGTGAAACAAACCCTGACTGGGATTAAAGTAGTTCAACACCAAGGATACGAGTACACATACTTTTTTACTTTAATCACTCAATACAACATTAGAAAAACAGGAAGAAAAATACATTTGATACAAAATTCATGTTTTAAAAGAAGAACAGATTTAGTCCATAGACACACAAACAAAAGGAAAACGCAAACAAAATAGCAGCAGCACATAGTAACAGTGCCATCTGGTGGTCAACATAAAACACAAAAGACATGTTCTCATGTTTTAAGGTTTGTAGTCTCTTTTCAAATATGGTCCTGGATTTGCAGCCTCATTCCTGGATCTGCAGCCTCAGTCCTGGGTCAACAGCCTCAGTCCTGGATCTACAGACAGAAAAGTGACAAAGAAAGGACCACATCACATAGTAAAACCAGCTTCAAAGGATGTTTATGGACATTAAAGTAGCTGCATTCGTGAATCGTGTTTCTCTGTGTTTTTTTGCCGTTGCAGGAAAAGCCTCCGTGATCTGGAGCCTGGAACTCCTCAGTCTCATTGTGGTCAGATAACTCTGAAGATCGTGGTCAGAGGGAAAGTCAAAGAACACGCCTCCCTGCTGGTCGCCCTGCTGCTCCTCCTCTTTGGCTCCTCTTGGCTCCGCCTCCTCACGCCTCTCAGAGAACAGCGGACTCCTGAACCACACATGTTTCTTCAAAAATGCTGTCCTTTTGACGAGGAGCTACGGACACAGCATCAAAGCCACGATAAGTTTTAAGAATTATGTACAGAGGTCTCTGATTCTCTGATCAGTCCAATGCGCCTGCGTGGAGGGGTGCATATCTGTTTGTTCGGCTGAGTGTTTTGAAACTTTTGTGTTTGGTTTGACATACTTCTCTTTTACGTCTCACTCAGTGGGGGCAGGTCCCAGCTCAAAAGTGGCCAAAATGACGTGCGCTGACATGCTTGCAATACCACCCCGGGCCGATGGGGGTGGACCCAGAAGAAGAATTTGCCAATGCTAACATATAGCATTGGCAGACCTCTCGAAAACGTCTTTACAGGATGGTCCAAAAGTTGGCTCTTGGCCCAAAGCTCCGTTCCACATGTGTGTCAATGCTGAGGGGGGTGAATTTATTTTGTCCACTCTAGTTTAGTCGCTGTGAATTTTTGAAGTCTCTCGTTCAAATGAATGGAGCTGACGCATGCGCAGATGCGTTTTTTCCCAATTTTCTTGTGGGCGGGACCACTCGCGGCCATTTTGGATTGCTCCAGTAGAGCACATTTTTTGGCCCATTAGTTAGAACGGCGGAGATAGGCGTGACTCTGTCTGTTAATATATACAGTCTATGGTCTCACTATGCTAGCTGGCATAGATAGACTAATGTACTCAAGAGAGAAGTTACTGGCACTAAGAGACAATACCAAGACTAGTTTACGCCATATGATTCCACTGGAGCTAAGGCGAAAGTACCGGGGCTGCCATGCCGGTCGTAAACTGAAGGATAAAATCAAGGCTAGAATTCTCAAACGAAGGATCTTTAAGCCAAGACATTGAGGGGGCAGTGGGGTGCCTGACTGATTATTTGAACTTTTGCATGGATCAGGTGGTACCAATTAGAACAATCCAGTGCTTTGATAACAATAAACTATGGATGAGGTGAAGAGCGTTCTGAATAAGAAAAAGAGGGTTTTTGGAAGGCTGCAGGGGCAGTGCAAGAAAGAGGGACACTGACACCCGACCCAGACCCACTGTGGTGGGTCTGGGTCTGGATTCAGTAGAGGAGGTGGTAGAGCAAAGATCAGGGTGATCTTGTCCAACCAGAGCCACCCACTAAATTCATTTTTTTCCCGCCAAAGAAGCACCATGAGCTCCAGACTCCTCTCTGAGGTGCTCCAAGGACAGACTAAAAAACTGTTTTGTCCCCAACGCCATCAGGCTTGTTGTGGTAAGTTTCACATCTTAGAATATATTGTACTAAACTCACTGATACATTTGCAGACAAAGGCCACTTGTCTCATACAAAGGGGCCCTCTCTCCTGCTCTCTTTCCCATGGCCTTCGTTCTGTTAAGCCTAGCGTACATCGGACTGGCAACTGATTATATCCGTCGCTTATGAGTTGCTGCCCCGCACACATCGACAATCTGACGAAACGGGCAACTCCCAGTCGCAGACCAGTCTCGGGAATAACAGCGCGTACATCGACAGCAACTGGCCGTCACCTACAGTGTGTTTTCTGACATAAACTGTTGCGGGCTCGCAATACACGCAATACACACATGTTGTCGGAGTGGCGCATGGAGCGCGCACATCGGGTCATATCTCCGAAACTGAGGACAACTAGTTGCCGAAAAGTAGAACACAGGCAACTGACTGAAACTGGAGACCGACTGTTCATCTCCAGTTGTAAGAGCGCGCACATCGACCGATTTCGGCAACTGATCATCTCCCATCATCTCCTCTCAGTTGCCAAAAGTCGCCTTGCAACTAGTTGTCCCCAGTTTCTCTGTCGATGTACGCTAGGCTTTACAATCTGCAGGTGCGTTATCTGCCCGTTCTTTTGCTATCTGCTTGTCCCTGCTTGTTCCCGTCTCTTATCTCCTCCTTACCCCCCGTCCATGCATGACTCATCCAATCTTGCCCCCACTGCAGACATCTGTGTTGTCTGTTCATTGTTCTAGGTTTTTGCAGAGTATATTATCAATATTGGAATGTGAGAAGGCAGAGAGAAACGGTGCAAGCATCGCATGCACAGCTTCTGTCTGACTCTCTCTGCAGAGAAATTATTTTGTATTGTACTCTCATCATCTTTTAAATAAATTGCACAAAGACAAGCTGTTTTCCTCGGATTTATTCATTGAAGTATTTGAATTTCCACTACAGGCTTTATAACAAAGCCACTTCAGGGAGGAGCAGGGGGGGAGTAGGGACGGAAGAGTCTTGAGAATTGTTTTGCAGTGCCTCAACTTCTCTTTTAATGTTTTTAATGTATTTATTGTCTCTTTTTTAACTATTTTGACTCTAACTTATGTATGTATGTTTGTATGATTGCGAGCAAGGGACCAGTGCACAATTTCCTTCGGGATCAATAAAGTATCTATCTATCTATCTATCTACAGTATCTATCTCTTTATCCCAGGGGTGATGTGTTTTGTATGTTTTCAGGCTGTAAAACCTCACACTTTATACACTTCTCTAACCAGCTGAACATACGACTGCTGAGGAGAGAGAGACCAGAGATATCAAACCTGTTGTAGTTAGATTGCTGCTGTAGCTGTCAAAAGTCCTGCATATATAACATACAGCTGCAGAGGGGAGAGAGACCAGAAGAGAGAGACCAGAGAGTAATCAAAGAGAGGCCGGAGGAAGACAAGAGGGAGAGGCCACATAGACCAGAGAGAGAGAACAGAGAGAGAGACCAGCTAGAGAAAGCAGAGAAAGGCCAGAGAGATAGACCAGAGAGAGAGATGCGATAGTCCTCTACACCACAATTTTCTTGTGACTGTAATAACACTAATAACTGATACTTACAACTGGAGTCTGTGCTGTTTGGAAGAGGAAAAAACAAAATAATAATAGATTTACACATGAGACATGATTCTTTAGGGATGGGACCATGGGACCTGTGAGAATGAGGCTGTGTCCCACGGTCCCATCTCTGGTTCAGATTTACTTCAGGCGTTTACCTTGATGTGACCTGTCATCAGATGGGGGTCTTTGGTTTGTGCTGAAACAGATCCATTTGTTTAGAGTTTCAATATTTCAGTGAAGCTGAAGTTACAAAGTTTCACTCACCAGAGGTTCAGAGGCTTTTCCTCCAGGACTGTGGGGGAATCTGGGAGCACAGGTATGGCCAGTTTACACTTGTGTAGAGTGATCGAGTGAGTGAGTAGAGTGAATTTATATACAGTGCCTTGCGAAAGTATTCGGCCCCTTGAACCTTTCAACATTTCGCCACATTTCAGGGTTCAAACATAAAGATATAAAAACTAAATTTTTTGTCAAGAATCAACAGTGGGACACAATCGTGAAGTGGAACCAAATTTATTGGATAATTTTAACTTTTTAAACAAATATAAAACTGAAAAGTGGGGCGTGCAATATTATTCGGCTCCCTTGCGCTAATACTTTGTAGCGCCACCTTTTGCTGCAATTACAGCTGCAAGTCGCTTGGGGTATGTATCAGTTTTGCACATCGAGAGACTGGAATTCTTGCCCATTCTTCCTTGCAAAACAGCTCGAGCTCAGTGAGGTTGGATGGAGAGCGTTTGTGAACAGCAGTCTTCAGCTCTTTCCACAGATTCTCAATTGGATTCAGGTCTGGACTTTGACTTGGCCATTCCAACACCTGGATACGTCTATTTGTGAACCATTCCATTGTAGATTTGGCTTTATGTTTTGGATCATTGTCCTGTTGGAAGATAAATCTCCGTCCCAGTCTCAGGTCTTTTGCAGACTCCAACAGGTTTTCTTCCAGAATGGTCTTGTATTTGGCTCCATCCATCTTCCCATCAATTTTAGCCATCTTCCCTGTCCCTGCTGAAGAAAAGCAGGCCCAAACCATGATGCTGCCACCACCATGTTTGACAGTGGGGATGGTGTGTTCAGGGTGATGAGCTGTGTTGCTTTTACGCCAAACATTTTGCATTGTGGCCAAAAAGTTTGATTTTGGTTTCATCTGACCAGAGCACCTTCTTCCAGTTTGGTGTGTCTCCCAGGTGGCTTGTGGCAAACTTTAAACAAGACTTTTTATGGATATCTTTGAGAAATGGCTTTCTTCTTGCCACTCTTCCATAAAGGCCAGATTTGTGCAGTGCACGACTGATTGTTGTCCTATGGACAGACTCTCCCACCTCAGCTGTAGTTATCTGCAGTTCATCCAGAGTGATCATGGGCCTCTTGGCTGCATCTCTGATCAGTCTTCTCCTTGTTTGAGATGAAAGTTTGGAGGGACGGCCGGGTCTTGGTAGATTTGCAGTGGTCTGATACTCCTTCCATTTCAATATAATTGCTTGCACAGTGCTCCTTGAGATGTTTTAAGCTTGGGAAATCTTTTTGTATCCAAATCCGGCTTTAAACTTCTCCACAAGAGTATCTCGGACCTGCCTGGTGTGTTCCTTTGTCTTCATGGTTCTCTCTGCCCTTTAAACAGAACTCTGAGACTATCAAAGAGCAGGTGCATTTATACGGAGACTTGATTACACACAGGTGAATTCTATTTCTCATCATCAGTCATTTAGGACAACATTGGATCATTCAAAGATCCTCACTGAACTTCTGGAGTGAGTTTGCTGCACTGAAAGTAAAGGGGCCAAATAATATTGCACGCCCCACTTTTCAGTTTTTTAGTTGTTAAAAAAGTTTAAATATCCAATAAATTTCTTTCCACTTCACAATTGTTTCCCACTTGTTGTTGATTCATGACAATGTTTGAAGCCTGAAATGTGGCGAAATATTGAAAGGCTCAATACTTGTGTATATACTTTCGCAAGGCACTGTATATACACATACATGCATACCATAGTGTCATCTATATCTGGGACCTGTACCTGTGATACTGGGAAGCTCGAGCTGATGGTTTAGGTGGATAGCCTTAGTGTGACCTGTACCTGTCATACTGGAAAGCTCAAGCTGGCGGTACAGGTGGATGGCCTCTGTGTGACTTGTGACCTGTACCTATGTGTGACCTGACCTGTGATACTGGAGAGCTCGGGATGGTGGTACAAGTGGATGGCCTCAGAGCGACTCGTCTCCATCAGAGTAGAATTCTTTATGGGCAGCACCAGGTCATCGTCCAGAGAGAAAGGACAGAGATCGGCTGCAGACCACAGACAAAACAGAATCAGAGAAAGAGAGAGACCAGAGAGAGAGACCAGAGAGAGACCAAAGAGAGAAACACCAGAAAGAAACACCAGAGAGAAAACACCAGAGAGACACCAGAGGAAGAGACCAGAAAGTGACCAGAGACAGACCAGAGAGAGACCAGAGAGAGACCAGAGACCAGAGAGAAAGGACAAAGAGCAGCTGTAGACAAAACGGAATCAGAGAAAGAGAGACCAGAGAGAGATCGGCCAGAGAGAGAGACTGGAGATAACAGACACACACCATAACGTTCCTCTCTGAAAACCTCTGGAGACGGTAAAGTGGAAGTGTCCACCAGGGAGCGCTGTTCCTCAGAGCTGTAGGACGTGTCTATGAGCAGACTGAGGGGGGAGCTGTTCGAGGCCGTTCCCCCCACTGCCGAGTCCATGTGTGTGACCGGAGCCGGATCCAAAACCGGGTCTGGGTCCGGGACCTCCAGAAGGTAAGGCAAGTTTATAGCAGAGTTCATACACAAGAAAACTCAACCAGTTTCGCGGCATGTATTTCTTTCCAATGTCCATACACCCATTTTCTTCCTCTTAATCCATTCCTTGGTCGGGGTGGCAGAGCGCCAACCCCTCACTGATCCTCCTGCAGGTGGTGAGAGCACAGCCTTGACCTTTCAGCAGGGGCTTCAGGCAAAGTGGGGGTAAGTGCCTTGCCCAAGGACACAACAACAGTGTGTCCTGGGTTCGAACCCACAACCTTCAGACTCAAAGGCCAATGCTCCTCCAACAGTGGCTTTCTTTCCCATCTCAAGATCATCTTTTTCTGATCTCTCTCTCTCTCTCTCTCTCTCTCTCTCTCTCTCTGTCTCTGTGTCTCTGTCCCTCTCTGGTCTCTCTCCCTCCCTCCCTCCCTCCCTCTCTGGTCTCTCTCTCTCCCTCCCTCTCTGGTCTCTCCCTCTGGTCTCTCTCACCGTTTGGAAGCGTCGAAGCTCGCAGTCTTCAGGCAGAGGTTCATAGACTCTTTTCACAGTTATTTTCTTTAAACCTCAACAATAAAAAATACATAATTTTATTATCAAAAGTTTATATGACACATTCTGAAGACTTTTCCCCCAATCATGAAGAGATACTACTGTGTTGTCAAAGCACAAGGACCTAAATACAGATATTTATTCTATTTTATTACAAAGCCCTGGACTCTTCACTCGGTGTGATCCCAAGAGCGATATTTTCACTATGTGGTGGAACAGCTGAAACAGGTCTCCTGGACTGGCAACTATGGCAACCATGGAAACTATGGCAACTATGGCAACTATGACAACTATGACAACTATGACAACTATGACAACTATGACAACTATGACAACTATGACAACTATGACAACTATGACAACTATGACAACTGTGTCAACTATGGTGAGAGTCAAAAGTAAGATTCTTGTCTTAGTTTAGAGATTATTTCTTGTCATTATTCTTGGAACAATCCATACGAAACAAACTGTCGCAAAGTTCTACATCTTCATCGTCAGAACATATCAACCATGGTCTCTCTCTCGTGGTCTCCCTTTCTGGTTTCTCTCTCGTTGGTCTCACTCTCTCGGTAGTCTCTCCCTTACTGGTCAATCTCCCTCTCCCCTCTCTTTTCTGGTGTCTGTAAGTGGAGACCAGACAGAGAGTGAGACCATAGACAGAGAGTCCAGAGAAACTTATAATATGGCAGATGTGTGAATCAAATCAGGACTTTTTTCTCCCTTTTTTACTTATTGCTGTAGACTCGTTAGCATTAGCATCCCTAACCTCCACACTGTAGGCTTTTTTGTATGTGTCAGGTGTGTGTTGTCTACAGTCTGTAACAGTAGATTAGCGCTTTTGTTATTTTATTTGGAAATTTTGACTACTTCCGGTCAAGAGACTACGTTAGCTTGTCAGATGCTAAAAGACGTTATAAAATTCAGTTTAGCTTCAGTTCACAAATAGCACACGTTCTGTACTTAACTACGTTAGATGTGTAAGAATGGTAGAGTAGTATTAATATCCAGTTAATGGTTACAATAACGGTCAACAATGTCACTTTATTTAATGAGAAACAATGTTATAGTACATTCATTTTAGATTTTGTTCTGTTGTTTCTGTTCTGTCTCTTACGTTCTAGATGTAAATATTCACACTAAAAAATAAAAATAGTAACAATAATAAAACTACATCTATGGACTGAACTTGAACAGAACACTCCCGCTCTGCCCCCTGGTGGCTATTTGTTTAGTAACAGCCTAACTACACACCACAGACGCCCCACAGTCCATCTCCTACCAGTCCGCATGCGCAGTGGGGTTTTCAGTGGCGTATCCTTCTTCTCCCGTCTCATCCTGACTGCCTGGTGACCGCCGACCCGGTGTGGCCCTGATGTGGTCCCGTACCTGTAACCTAGACCGGTGCACACCTGTCTCTAAGTGACCAGGGGTTGCCAGATCCGAGGCATATTTGTCAGGTTTAAAGCTCGAGATCTGAACTATTTTCTTATTCTAAATAAAGCAGGACTAAAGCAGGTCTGAAGCAAGTCTAAAGCAGGTCTGGGGCAAGTCTAAAGCAGGACTAAAGCAGGTCTAAGGAAAATATGTTATCTTATCCCTGAAAGCCATTATCTGACTCCTTGGGCTGAGAGCTGATTGGCTGAGTGACAGAGGCCAGAAATATAGATAGAAAAAACTATGCCAGAGACACATGGGTTTATGACAGATAGTGATGAGTCGTGCCGCGTCAGCGCTTCGGGGCGTGAGCCGAGAAATCCCTGAAGTTTTTATCGGAGCGCGGGCCGAAGCCTGAGTTGTTTTAGATGAGTGACGTCACCAATGACGTTTGAAGCCTCGGGAGCACAGGAAATGGAGCGATTCATGAAGTACTGCAGAAGATCCGCTCAAACTGTGTGTTTGTCTTGATGATTAATGTAGTCAGTGATGGAGAGGCTTGTGGACAAGCTGGTTGGCTCAATTGATAGGGAATCAGGGCTGGGACCTGGGAGACCGGGGTTCGAATCTCACCGGGAGTGCGTCGATGTAAATACACGAGAAAGAATTTTGTCAGAAATGTTTTGGTTTTGAAACAACTGATGGGGTCACAATCCCAAATGATATCCCCATTTGTGTCACGTCCTTTGAAAAGCACTTACACTTTCAACATGTTTTTTGTCCCATTGGATTTATAAATAAATATATTTTGACTTGAAAAGCTATAATCATTCATCATTAAATATGTATATAAATATATATCTACATATATGTATGTGTGTGTGTGTGTGTGTGTGTGTGTATTAGAGCAGACAACTGTACCAGTTACCAGTACATTATAATTGTATTGTCATTTTAAAATATATTCCTTTTCACTACTGATAGTGATCATAATGAAACAGATGAATTAATGGGTCATACACAATCAAATTACATTTTTATTTCTGTTACCAGTATTAGTTCCTATGCACCAAGAGCCTCACAAACAGTTCAATTGTCAATACAGATTTTGACCAACAGGAGGTTTGTGAGCATATGAAGCATCAAGAAATGAACCTTTTCTCGAAACAATGGATGAAAAGGTTCAACACTTCATGAAGCTTCATCAACCCATCACTAATGACAGAGTTCTATTGTGGTCTGAAAGTTACAGACTCAGCTTTAATATCTCATTCTAACAGTAGTTTAAACAGGACACAGAGACAGGTGTAAAATCATTCCAGTTTATTGAGTTGCCCCAGTGCCTCCTCTTAAAGACACGGTGCCTGATTCCTTTTTACAGCATAATAGATAAATAAATATACAGAACAATTCAAAATTGTCTCACTACACACAAAGAAATCAAACCCCATTCAGACTATTGATCCATAATAAATATGTTACAGCCGCCTCCTGTATGTACATCTCTCTAAGTCAGGAGCAGGGGTCAGAGGTCCGGGTAAGGGCTCACTCTAACTCTGACCCTCTGGAGTTTGGAACTATCAAAGTAACTGTTCTAAATGAAAAACCTCTTCTAGACATTACTTCTAGTGAAAACCGTTAGATACAGAGTTTGTTCCTGTTGAGTTCTGCACATTCACAAAACTGAAAATGACATGAGTTCGATTGTTACTCTGTTACTGAGTACTCAGTACTCATACTCAGTACTGAGTACGGAGTGCTCTACTCCAGAGTAGATCTGTTGAAACGGGCAAAAATCAACAATCATGTTTCTTTTCAAGTATCAGTCTGAGAGCTGGTCTCACATGCAGCACCCCCTGAACGCAGAGTCATCTCAGTGTTGTGGTTGTTAGTTATTTAAAAACATTTGGTGCAATAAGAGTGGAGTGATCTGAGGTGGTTCCAGTCTGTGCTGGGAGCATGCAGAGGAAGCCGAGGGAGACACACAGAGTCCTGTGCTCTACACAGAGTCCTGTGCTCTACACAGAGTCCTGTGCTCTACACAGAGTCCTGTGCTCTACACAGAGTCCTGTGCTCTACATAGAGTCCTGTCTCCTTCAGGTTTTTGGTTCAAATGAAAAAGCGAGGAGCGTGTTTCAGGATCAGTTTAAAGTCTTTAAAACATAAAGATTCAAATCAAATTTTGCCACAGATTTGGTGTCCATCCAGTCTGAGCACCTGCTCCAGATCATCTGGGTGAATCCTGAAGCGTTCCCAGGTCAGAAAGACAGTTCTTCTGTGTCCTGGGTCTCACCCTGGTCTTCCCCTGGTCCCCCCCTGGTCTCCCCCTGGTCTCCTCCTGGTCTCCTCCTGGTCTCCTCCTGGTCTCCTCCTGGTCTCCTCCTGGTCTCCTCCTGGTCTCCTCCTGGTCTCCTCCTGGTCTCGTTCCTGGTCTCGTTCCTGGTCTCCTCCTGGTCGGTCACGCCCAGAACTAGAGGCGTCCAGGAGGCATCCTCCTGTGGAGGAGCAGCAGCTCTACTCCAAGCTCCTCTGTGTGACTGAGCTCCTCCCCTTTCTCTGAGGGGACAGGTGAGGGAGGGTCAGGGGTCGGGGACTCAGCCCACACTGATCACACAGCTCTCGTTTGAAAAAAAAAAAATTGTTAAAAATGCTCAGAAACATTTACTTTGTGTTTACACTAGAACTCCCAGAGCAGTCAATTTGACTGCTATTGGAAATGTAATCACTGCTCATGTTCATCTGTGTCTGAACTCTTTCTGCAGTTTATTTTTGTCATTATTGTACCTTTCACTCCCAGAGCAGTCCTTATGACTGCTCAACTCTTTTAATTGTAAAATTATAATGTAGCCATTTTCGGTCGCTTGGCAACCAACATTATGGAAGTCAAAGCACTTTTCTTCATGGTCCTGAGCTGGTCCTGGACAGGTCCCGAACTGGCCCTGGACAGGTCCCGAACTGGTCCTGGATGAATAACTTACTTTTGATACAACTTGCTAGAAAACAAATTAACTTTTTGTAGGGATTTTTTCAGAACTGTTGTTATATTGGTTTGAATGGGAGCAGTCAAAATGACGGCTCTGGGAGTCGTCTGAACTTTAAAATCATCTGGAAGCTGTGTGAAGCGGGACGGCCTCAGGTGGGGGAGGCCAGAGGGGGAGTGTGAAGCAGGTCCGAGCCGGTCTTCTGGAGCCGGAGTTTGGGACGTGGACAAAGTCTGGCAGGTCTTCGGCTCAGAGGGAAATGCTGCTGTACAAGTCTTCAATCTGCGTTTTGAAAAACTCTCGGAGCTCGGGTCGTTTGGCCTTCAGCGTTGGGGTCAGGAGCCCGTTAGCGACAGAGAACATCTCATTGTGGATGTGGATCTCCTTCACCTGAAACAGAACCAACATGTCAGACTGAGGCTGAAGACCCAGGACTGAAGCTGTAGACCCAGGACTGAGACTATAGACCCAGGACTGAGGCTGTAGACCCAGGACTGAGGCTGTAGACCCAGGACTGAGGCTGTAGACACATATTAGTTTGTACCTGTTCGAAGGAGTGGAGACCACTGGCTTTCCCCAGTCGCACCAGATCCTCTTGAATGGCCTTTTTCAGCAGCTGCAGAGAAACAGGACATCAATGAACATGTGACATCACACTGGCCTAGGACAGACTGGGACGATCTGGCCTAGGATAGACTGGCCTGGGACAAACTGGCCTGGGACAGCCAGGCCCGGGATAGTGCACTGTGGGTGGATTCTTACCGGGTTTGCACACAGCTCCAGGTAGGACCCCGTCAGCCCCTTCTTCTTGGCCCACTCTGGCAGGGACTCTGGGTCGGGGACAATGATGCCAACCAAACATGACTGCACAAAGGAAGTCACACTCTGTCACCTTTACTTTTACTTTCACTGAAGGTGTTAACCTGGTGAAAAGGCTAATGCTAAAGACCAAATGCTAGCTGCTGACAGTAAACAGTATGTTTCTATGGTAACTAGTTCTATCTCCTCCGACCACCTGGTGTCTCACCTGCAGACTGTCCCCGTGCACGTAGAGCTGTGTGACCGGCTCACTGCGGATGTAGATGTTCTCGATCTTCTCGGGGGAAATGTACTCTCCCTGAGCCAGTTTAAAGATGTGCTTCTTACGGTCGATGATCTTCAGGGTCCCATTCTGCAATGACAGAGTGACACCGGGTTATTAGTATAGCCCACTTCACTCACAGGGCATGAAACGGAGACAAGAAATACAGGGGCCTCGAACTCCATAATGAGGCCTCCGTACTCCATACTGAGGCCTCTATGATGTATACTGAGGCCCCTCCCCTCTGTGATGTAGCCTGACGCAGACTGATGTAGACTGATGTAGACTGATGCAGACTCATGTAGACCGATGTAAACTGATGTAGACTGATGTAGACTCGTACCGGGAGCCACTTGCCGATGTCCCCCGTGTGCAACCATCCGTCTGGGTCCAGAGTCTCTGCGGTCCTCACTGGGTCTTTGAGGTAACCTTTGAACACGTTGGGGCCCTTCACACACACCTGAGGAACAGGCCAGGTTTAGGACCACATCTGAAATCATGTCTCTAGAGATGTGTTCTTGAACTTTTATCTTAGAAATGTGTGCTGACTTTTACTATGCCTCACTCTATTCTCTACCTCTCTCCTTTTGAGCCAAAGCAATTTCAGCGGCTGTGACTGACATGACAATAAAAATGATGCTGATTTAAGAAAGTCAGGAAATGTGCAAAATGTTAAAAGATACAACGTCCTATGTGCAATAAAGGTATTTAATGTACAATTAAATAGTGACTATAGAGCCGCAGGTTGCAGTCCTATTGTTGTTATGTTTTTAAACGTGGTTCAGACGTGTTTCGGACCTCTCCTTCTCCTTTTGATGCAAAGTAGTTTTTCTCTGGGACATCCACCAGTTTGATGAGGTTACAGGGCAGAGGTGCACCAACGTGACCTGGAGGCACAAGGAACAGTGAGTCATGCGGTCATTTTAATTACACCTACAGCTTTTATATACGTGTCTATGATAATGCATCGGTTTTATATAGCACTTTTTTGGACACTCAAAGACACTTTACATGGGATTATTCTTTCACTCCAAACACGGTGGTGATAAACTACTACAGTAGCCACAGCTGCCCTGGGGCACACTGACAGAAGCGAGGCAACCAGTATGTGCCATCGGCCCCTCTGACCACACGCACACACACACACACACAGTCAGGGCTGATAAATAACTCCAGTATTGTCTCCTTAAGATGAAGATATTTAGGAGGTTCCTAAAGCTCTAATATTAACTATGTTTTAACAAAACATTTCCTTCAGAATGTTGATGACAGATGTAACAGATGTTTGTGGAGACTGCTTAAACAACAGTCAAAAGCAAACAGCATCAGAATGACTGCACCTGGCTCTTTGTATCTGCTAAATAATGATAACTTTCTGTTTGAAGCTGCAGTTTGTGAAGCGGCCACCAAGGGGAGCAGCTGCACTGCTTTTGAGCGCACCAGAATAATAATAATAATAACAGCCTATGATCAGAACCGGTTTTTCCTCAATCCAGGAACTTTATAGTAAAAACATTGACTCATTTTCCTCGTGACATTCACTGCTGCAAAACAAAAACATTTATGACTTTATGACTGTTTGGCTGAAACACAGAGCCGAGTCTTGTATTTATTTATTCACCAAATATATGAGTGAAAGTAATCAGCTTAAACAAGAACATAACGCACTTCAGCAAAATATACGTGGAAATAAACTGTTCATTATTTGTGATAAATTGGGAATAGATTGAAAGCGATGTAATTTCTTAAAGGTTGGGTACGTAACTTTCAAACCACACCAATAGAACTCCTGGCTTTAAAACAGATTAGTTTTCACATCTCTCTCTGGTCTCTCTCACTGGTTTATCTCTAGTCTCTCTCTCTGGTCTCCCTCTTTAGTGTCTCTGTGGCCTCTGTCTCTCTCTGGTCTTTCTCAAGTCTCTCTCTCTGGTCTCCTTCTAATCTCTTTTCTGGTGTCTTTCACTCTCTGGACTCTCTCCAGTCTCTCTCTGGTCTTTCTCTCTATCTTGTCTCACTCTTGTGTGTCCCTGTCTCTGGTGTCTCTCTGGTCTCTCTGGTGTCTCTGGTGTCTCTCTGGTGTCTCTTCGGTCTCTCTCTGGTCTCCACCTGGCCTCTCCCTGGTCTCTCCCTGGTCTCTCTCGGGTCTCTCTTGGGTCTCCCCCTGGTCTCTCTCTCTGCTCTTTGGTCCCTCCCCCTGGTCTGGTCTCTCTCTCTGGTCTCTCTCTAATCTCTCTGCATGTAGTGATACAACAACATCATACTTTTACAGGACTGAGCCTGGAGCTTTTAGACAGAAACCCCTTGACATCAACATGGATGGAGCTAAACACAGTTGCAAGTCGGGACAGTGTTGAAACATAGAGAAAATGGTTTACCTGAGGTCCAGTCTCCCGGAGTGGTGTAGGTGCATCCTGCTGTGCACTCGGTCTGACCATAGGCCTCATAAACCTGGCAACCCAGAGCAGCGCGGAGGAAGCCCAAGACCGAGGGGGAGGTGGGGGCCGCGCCGGTGATGATCATTCGCAGACGACCTCCCAGACTCGCCTGAAACACAGAGATCAGACACTAGAACCTCCAAGAACACAGAAATATCAGACAGTAGACCACCTACTCTCTCTGGTCTCTCTCTAGTCTCTCGCTGGTCTCTCGTAGGTCTCTTGCTGGTCTCTTGCTGGTCTCTTGCTGGTGTCTTGCTGGTCTCTCGCTGGTCTCTCTCTGGTCTCTGTTTCTGTCTCTGGTCCCTCTGGTCTGTCTTTGGTCTCTCTCTAGTCTCCCTCCCTCTATCTCTGATCGCTCTATGATCTCTCTTTGGTCTTTCTCTGACCTCTCTAGCCTCTCTGGTCCCTCTGGTTTATCTCTGGTCTCTTGCTGGTCTCTCTCTGGTCATCCTGGTCTTCGTGGTACTTCCCTATTGGGGTTCATTGCGCTAACTGGTTAGCATTGTCTATCTGTATACTGTCTGTTTTAGCATTGTCCATCTGTATACAGTCTGTATTAGCATTGTCCACCTGTATCTCGTCTCTGACCTGTATTTTGCTGAAGAAGACCTTGTCCCAGATGCTGTCGCTGCGGATCACTCCTCTGCTCACTTCTGCTTCTTTCCTTTTGGCAGCGAAGTTGAGCAGCCATCGCTTCAGCGGTGTGTTGGCCTGACTGAAGATCTGCCAACGACACACACGGCATTAGGACTTTTCATAACACCCAATTTATGACAGGAGTGATGTGTTCTAAAGATAACCCACAATTAGTAAAAGTGTGTGAAGTAGCAGCTGTCTGTTTTTGGCTGTAAAACCTGAGAGACCAGAGAGAGAGACCAGAGATAAAGAGCAGAGAGAAAGACCAGAGAAAAGGAGCAGAGAGAGAGACCAGAGAGAGAGATACCAGAGAGAAAGAGCAGAGAGAGACCAGAGAGCAATCAGAGAGAGACCAGCAAGACCATAGCGAGAGGACAGAGAGAGAGACCGGAGAAAAGGAGCAAAGAGAGAGACCAGAGTAAAAGAAGCAGAGAGAGAGAGATCAGAGAGAGCGATCAGAGAGAGAACATAGCAAGACAATAGCGAGAGGTCAGAGAGTGAGAGACCAGAGAGAGACCAGAGAGGGACCATAGCGAGAGACCAGAGAGAGGGAAGAGATAGATACCAGAGAGACCATAGCAAGACCAAAGCGAGAGGCCAGAGAGAGACCAGAGAGAGACCAGAGAAAGACCAAAGCGAGAGACCGTAGCGAGAGACCAGAGAGAGACCAGAGAGAGACCGGAGAGAGACCAGAGAGAGACCAGGTTAGTTGCCAGGTCATTTTGACACACCAGCCTGTGTCTCTCTCTGTGTGTGAGGAAGCGTCTCCCTAGGTCTATGGATGTTTTTGGTAGTTTTTGATAGTTTTGTTCTTGACGATGGTGAAGTTGGTCCTTTATGGTGAAGATGGGCCTTGATGTCAAGCTGTACCTCACCTTGTCATACATGCGGTTGAGGAGGCGCGGCACCACAGGGAAGATGGTCGGCCTCAGAGCCTTCATGTCGTCAGAGAGAAGACGGATGTCGCCCTGATAGAAACCGATTCTCCCTCCATGACAGTACACCACAGACTGCACACAGACATGGAACTTTATGAAGCAGAGAGAAAGCAGCGAGAGAGCAGAGAGAGACCAGAGAGAGAGCAAAGAGAGACCAGAGAGCAGAGAGAGAGCTGCGAGAGAGCTGCGAGAGAGCAGAGAGAGAGCAGAGAGAGAGCAGAGAGAGACCAGAGAGAGAGAGCAGAGAGAGAGCAGGGAGAGACCAGAGAGAGACCAGAGAGGGTTCAGAGAGAGAGCAGAGAGCAGGGAGAGAGCAGAGAGAGAGCAGAGAGAGATCAGAGAGAGAGAGAGCAGAGAGACCAGATAGAGAGTAGCAAGAGAATGCTGAGAGAGATCAGAGAGAGAGAGCAGAGAGACAGAGAGCAGAGAGAGAGTAGTGAGAGAGAAGAGAGAGACCAGAGAGAGACCAGAGAGAGAAACAAGAGAGAGAGCAGAGGGAAACCAGAGAGAGATAGAGAGAGGCAAGATAGAGCAGAGTGAGAGACCAGAAAAAAGCATGTACTAGCCATATGCTGCCACCAGAGGGAGCAACATCTGCAGTCAGAGCTCCTTGCTGCAAATGGCTCCTCAGATGTGTTTACTGATCAACTCAGTTACTTCCTGTCGGCTGTAAATCTAAACCTTATCGTCCTCAAACCTCTGCTCTGCATTTTTGTCTTTCCCACAGGAGGCTCCCACTCAAACCACTATTTCTATTTTTTCATTCATGGAACTCTGCTTGGACAGAAATAGAATGCTGTGAACCAATCAGAGCCCTATGAGTCGCTATTTGACTGTTTGGGCTCAGAGTTGATTGGCTGAGGGAGGGGGGGTCTCTCTTATAAATATATGATGTGAAACTAGTGGAAGAAGCAACTGTTTTAGATCCAGGAACTAGAGACATGGGTTTAATACTGAGTCCTACTACCCCTGGTCCAGATCAAGACCTGATCCAGACCCGGTCCAGACCCGGTTTGGATCCTTTACCTCGATGAGTCTCTCGAACATGTGAGCCAGCGGCAGGAAGGAGATGAGGCAGTCGTCCTGATTTGGGAAAATTACTTTCTGAAAAACAACAAAACAAAACGTCATTCTGTCCCAGTCTTTAGGACAGAGTCAAGAGTCAGGAGTCAGGGGTCAGAAGTCAGAGGTCAGGAGTCAGAGGTGAGGAGTCAGGGGTCAGAGGTCACGAGTCAGAAGTCAGGAGGGAGGGGTTAGCGGTTAGGGTCAACTTACATCAGTGACTTTGAGGAATCCACCGAAGTCTGCGACCACGTTCCCATGAGTGAGCATGACGCCTTTAGGGTCTCCTGAAACCAGACCAGGTGGACTTTAACCAGAGAGAGACCAGAGAGAGACCAGAGAGAGACCAGAGAGAGACCAGAGAGAGACCAGGGAGACCGGAGAGAGACCAGGGAGAGATCAGGGAGACCAGAGAGAGACCAGGGAGACCAGAGAGAGAGGCCAGAGAAAGAGATCAGAACTGGTCCAGACTAAGCCAGGGTCTTTACCCTCTAACCTTTATCAGACAGTGGGTTGTACCTGTGGTGCCGCTGGTGAAGCAGACTATGGAGAGATCGTCTGCTGAAGGAGGCTGAGGACAAACAACAAACTGTCATCAATACATCTGTCAATCATCACGATCAATATAGGTTTTTTAAGAGTTTTTCCTTGTCGATGCAGGAGGGTCTTGTTGGACAGTTAGTGTCCAACAGAAAGGATTGGTGATGATCAGGACACTTTAGCATTCTACAACATGTACATGGACATTTTCTTCTGTGTGTGCTTTATATTTTTCATGTGTTTTAACTGTTGATTCTCTGACCTGTGTTGGTGATTTCAATGGTTTTGTTAAGTTCTCTGAGATGACTTCTGTTGTGACCTAGGGCTATACAAGAATAAATTGTATTGTATTGTATTGTATAGGTCAATGGAATAATATGTCTCTCCAGTTTCTCTCTGGTCCCTCTCTGGTCTCTCTCTGGTCTCTCTCTGGTCTCTCTCTGGTCTCTCTCTGGTCTCTCTCTGGTCTCTCTCTGGTCTCTCTCTGGTCTCTCTCTGGTCTCTCTCTGGTCTTTCTCTTGTATCTCTCTGGTATCTCTCTGGTCTCTCTCTGGCATCTCTCTGGTCTCTTACCAAAGGTTTCCTGTAGTGATCTCTGCCCAGCGCCTGCAGAAACAGAACAAATATATTGAGTAAAAGAGAAGGATGTTCTTCAGCTTTACCTGTCGATAGAAACTATAAATGTTGCCCAGTGTTGTTCTTCTTCCACAGTCTATGGAAGTGACTTGGGTTGATCTGGGTCTGGGTCTTGGTCTGGGTCTGGGTCCGGGTCTTACCTCGACCTGGAGCAGGCTCTGGACGTGGACCCCACACTTGTCCCCTCTCTGCTGCAGGTCCTGGTCACAGGCGTCCATCAGAATCACTCTCTTCAAACACGGCGTCTGTCTCCGCTCCACGTTCTCCAGAAGAACCAGCGCTTTGTCCGAGCGGTCGCAGATCACCGTGGAGATGTCCGCTGTGGAGAGGACCATGTGAGTGTCTCTGGTCTCTCTACTGGTCTCTGGTCTTTGTCCTGGTCTCTGTCCTGGTCCCTGTCCTGGTCCCTGTCCTGGTCTCTGCCCTGGTCTCTGCCCTGGTCTCTGCCCTGGTCTCTGCCCTGGTCTCTGCCCTGGTCTCTGCCCTGGTCTCTGCCCTGGTCTCTGCCCTGGTCTCTGCCCTGGTCTCTGCCCTGGTCTCTGCCCTGGTGGTCTCTGTCTTTGTCCTGATCTCTGTCCTAGTCTCTGTCCTGGTCTGTGTCCTGGTCTGTGTCCTGGTGTCTGTCCTAGTCTCTGTCCTGGTCTTTGTCCTGGTCTCTGTTCTAGTCTCTGTCCTGGTCTCTGTCCTGGTCTTTGTCCTGGTCTCTCTCCTGGTCTCTGTCCTAGTCCCTGTCCTGGTCTCCGTCCTGGCCTCTCCTGGTCTCTCTCCTGGTCTCTGTTCTGGTCTTTGGCCTTTGTCCTGGTCTCTGTCCTGGTCTTTGGTCTTTATCCTGGCATCTTTTCTCTCTCCTGGGTCCTCATTTATGAAAATTGCTCAGAAAAAGGTGTACATTTTGTGTGTAGATTCCAGATCCTGACGTGGCATTTATGAACGTGTGAGATCCGCACAGATTTGAGCGATCGCACCTGTGGCTGTTTAATAAATGCGCGCTCAATACCAGCGTATTTATGAAAGTCACGCCTATGAATATTCAGAAACCGCTTGATCACGCCCCGTCTTTACAACAGGTCAGCAGGAAGTCGGCTAAGAAGCCTCAAAAAGCACACACTTCACGTTTAAAAATATATATATATATATACGCTATAGTATATATAAACTTTTTTCCCTGGTGTCTAGACCCACTGCAGCACTCATCTCTCCTGAAATTTTTACGTAAATAATTAAATAATAAATTACTGAATGAAATAATGAACTATACTGCTGGTGCGCGTCGCATCCTATCTCTGCTATACGGAGTACAGGGCAGTGGCTAAGACAGTTTTGAGCAAGATCAGGTGCATTTATGGGGCTTTATCATGGATGTATAATATTAACTGGATAGGGTATTACTAGCTTGTAGCTGAATAACTCACGTGCTCAGGGGATTCTCGCGGTACTGCAGACTGAACCAGACTAAATTCACGTGGGCTACCCACAAATTTTCCCCATAGAACTCAATGCATATTAAAACAGCTCAACCTCAGCTGACAGAGAACCTACAGCTTTAATAAAGATCGGATTTTGTGGGGATTTTAGTGTCCCTTGTCATCCTGAACTTTTTTTCTTCTTAAATCCTTCGGTTTTGTTTAAATCCACACTTTAGTGCCACAAACTCTGCTCGTCTGGCTCTCGCTCTAACTCCCGCTCTGATGAACTGCTCTGATTGGTCAGAGCGCGGCCGAGCCCCTCTGTGCACGTGCGTGAGACCCGGTGTGAGACCCACACACGCGTGTTTGGCGCAACGCATTATGGGAGATCATCCACTGCGCAGAACCGGGAGGACCAGACGATGCCCAAATACAGGCGAGTTTCCCATAGATCTTTGCGAGTTTCAGGCAACTTCCGCTAATCTTTCAGCCCCCATGCTGTCACAAAGCGCCACTGAGCACAACCATTCATTTGAATAGGGCGCCATCTTGGATCGCCGGGGCTTGGGCTTTATTCACAAAACTAAGGAAATCCCACATTGCTTTGCCAGAGGTGAATGAGGCAAAACATATGCGTAATAACATATACGGCGCAGGGTCTGCCACAGGTTGTTCATGCTTATGCAAAAATAAATTTACGCTATATACTACGCTATTTATTCAGCTGCGTTTTGAAAAAAATTGCAAAATTTTTTTGATAAATTAGAAAAATCTCTCTTGTATGGAAGCCCGTTTCCGCCATGTAAAAAAAAAAAAGCCTACAGAAAGTCAACATTTTGACTTTAAAACTCAAAATTTAAACTTTAAAACTCAAAATGTTGACTTTAAAACTCAAAATTTCGACTTTAAAAGTCAAAATTACGAGTTTTCAACTGCGCATGTGCAGTTGAAAACTCGTATGTATTGTTGTCTGGAACGGTCTCTGGTCACCCCTATTATAGATCCATGACCATGGGTCATCCTCTACCTGCAGATTATGTGAAGATTTTGCCTACAGACAGTGACCACATCCATGAAGTAGCAGCAATAATGTTGTGGTAGTAATCGCGTTAAAATGCAAACGGTCTCTCCGTTTATGATTAGAATCCGCTTCAGAAGCCTCTATTTAGTTTATCCTAAACGGACTGTGGAAGATTAATAATAAAACACATGCGGCTGTTCAAAGTCATTGAGCATCAACTGGTGACATCTGGTCAGTATCACGGCTATCGATGGATGCACCAGAAATGCAGTGAATGATATTGTGACTGACAGAGAGACCGTTCACAATGACAGGACAGCGAGGGAGGTCCGCAGACAGAGGCAGGTGAACCACAGTCACCGGCACTGACAATATTACCCTTTTGGAATTGCGATCAGTGCATTGAAGAGTATGTGACGTGTTTGCGTGCATGCGGGGGTGAGCTGATGGAGCGAGCGTGTGGTAAAGTTGTTGTCGTATGAGCAAGAACACAGAGACATACAGGGAATAAGTGCCTTGTCTGATTATTTTATTGTGACAAAATAAAGCCCACGACTCTTTAAGCAACAATCCGGAGAAATAACTCCGCAGATAACAGTGAGGGTCTTTGAAAAGGGAGTTAAACCCATTATAGATGCATGAATAAAACCCCGTACTCAACACGTAGAAAGCGCATCATTTCAGTCGTGGAAATACACGCTCCGTGTGGACCCCTCTCAGCGTCAGATTGGATTGGAATCATGCAGATTGGATTGGAATGTCTCGATGGCTCATTTTCCTTTGATTTATTATAAAAACGTATTGCTCACATTATTTGTTACTATGTCGAAATAAAAAGCCGTTTGATTTAAATGTTGTATATATGTAAATTGAATTTAACATAAATAAATAAAAAGACAGCTCCCCCTGCGTCCTACGACCGCGGTCTGGGGCTTAAACAGGAAAGTTTTACAAAATCAATCAAACAACATTATTTCTGGCTACTTCAAGGATGCAGTGGTCACTGTAGGCAATATCTTCACATAATCTGCAGGTGAAGGATGTCCAGAGACCGTTCCAGACAACAACACATACGAGTTTTCAACTGCACATGCGCAGTTGAAAACTCATAATTTTGACTTTTAAAGTCGAAATTTTGACTGTTAAAGTTGTAATTTTGACTTTTAAAGTCGTAATTTTGACTTTTAAAGTCAACATTTTTTTTTTTTTTTTACTTGCCGGAAACGGGCTTCCATACTCTTGAATTGTAGAAGTGAATGAATAAAGAATTAATGAATTCATTAATTAATGAATTCATTAATTAATGAATTCATATATATTGTGCAGCGGTGGCTCTCATCAATGAAGCGTCTGCAGCGTCTTGTGAATGCACTGAAGCGCTGTACACTTGAGAGAGCGTTTGCGGTACAGATGTTACAGAGAAACTCTGGAGCCAAAACTTCTGAATGACAGCATTTGAGGAGTTATGTGGCGCAACCTCTCATGGCACCTGCTTTGCATGCACTCCCAAGCGTGTGCAGCGGATGGACAGGGCAGTGAGACATTTGGAGTGAGCAATACCATAGTCCATCGGTCCATGCATTAATGGGGTGTGTGTCTGTGTGAGGCTTACACAAATCTAATGAAAACATACATTGCTTTACCAGATGTGAATGAGAAATACAAATAGCCGTGGGTAATTACGCAGCGCAGAGCCTGCCACAGCAATGTATGGGTCACACATCCCTGTCGAGTTATTTGTATAGAGCCTTTCACAGTCCAAGATCACAAAGCGCTTCACATTTTAAAAACATACAGATCACAATAATCATAGAAACAGAAGAGGCTCCTCATCATGAACGTATCATGAACTGCGTGTTTGCCTGTTTCCAGAGTGTTAGACTTTTTCTGAAGCGCAAATTCAAATTCCAAAAAATAATGCTCAATGAAAACGCAGCTTATAATTTTGCCAGAGTGGGACTATGTTTATTGTTGTCCAAATCTTCAATTTCAAATGTGTGTTGTGATGAAGGGTGAAATGAGTGTACACATTTTCACCACCTCCTGACTTGGTGTAAATTCTGTGCGTACCGTACGCTCACGTCCAGATTGACAAATGCGTTTAAAAAAAAGTGTAATTTTTTTGGCTACCCATCATTTACACCCTGATTTGGTCATACGCAAGTTTCATACATGAGGCACCTGGTCTCTGTCCTGGTGTCTGTCCTGGTATATGTCCTGGTCTCTGTCCTGGTCTCTGTCCTGGTCTCTGGTTTCTGGTCTTTGTCCTGGTATCTTTTCTGGTCTCTGTCCTGGTCTCTGTCCTGGTCTCTGTCCTGGTCTCTGTCCTGGTCTCTGTCCTGGTCTCTGTCCTGGTCTCTGTCCTGGTCTCTGTCCTGGTCTCTGTCCTGGTCTCTGTCCTGGTCTCTGTCCTGGTCTCTGTCCTGGTTGTTGTCCTGGTTGTTGTCCTGGTAGTTGTCCTGGTCTCTGTCTTGGTCTCTGGTCTTTGTCCTGGTATCTTTTCTCAGTTCTCGTCCTGGTCTCTGTCCTGAAGTCCTCTCACATTAGCCCTGGTCTCAGGTCTCTGTCCTTATATCTGGTGTCAGTGCTGGTCTCTGCTCTCTGGTCCTGGTCTCGGTCCTGGTCCTGGTCTCAGTCCTGGTCCTGGTCCTGGTGCTGGTCCTGGTCCTGGTGCTGGTCCTGGTCCTGGTCCTGGTCCTGGTCTTGGTCCTGGTCTTGGTCCTGGTCTTGGTCCTGGTCTTGGTCCTGGTCTTGGTCCTGGTCTTGGTCCTGGTCTTGGTCCTGGTCTTGGTCCTGGTCTTAGTCCTGGTCCTGGTCCTGGTCCTGGTCTCGGTCCTGGTCCTGGTCCACACCTGTGTTGATGATGAAGCGGATGGCGTCTGCTCCCAGTGTATCGTACAGAGGAACCACCACCATAGAGTAAGTGTAACAGGCCAACTCTGAGATGAACCACTGTGGAGACAGGAGACCATGTGAGAGGGACCAGAGAGAGACCAGAGAGAGACCAGAGGGAGACCGGAGAGACCAGAGAGAGACCAGAGAGACACCAGAAAGAGACCAGAGAAAGACCAGGGGGAGATCAGAGAGACCAGAGAGAGACCAGAGAGAGACCAGGGACCAGAGAGAGACCAGAGAGAGAGCAGAAACCAGAGAGAGACCTGAGCGACCAGAGAGAGACTAGATAGAGACCAGAGAGGGAGCAGAGCGAGACCAGAGAGAGAGAGCGCAGACACCAGAAAGAGAGACTAGAGAGAGACCAGAGAGAGAGACCAGACAAAGACCAGAGAGACTGACAGAGGCCAGACTGTGGGGAAACCAGAGAGAGACCAGAGAGAGACCAGAGGGAGACCGGAGAGACCAGAGAGAGACCAGAGAGAGACCAGAGAGACACCAGAAAGAGACCAGAGAAAGACCAGGGGGAGATCAGAGAGACCAGAGAGAGACCAGAGAGAGAGCAGAAACCAGAGAGAGACCTGAGCGACCAGAGAGAGACCAGATAGAGACCAGAGAGGGAGCAGAGCGAGACCAGAGAGAGAGAGCGCAGACACCAGAAAGAGAGACTAGAGAGAGACCAGAGAGAGAGACCAGACAAAGACCAGAGAGACTGACAGAGGCCAGACTGTGGGGAAACCAGAGAGAGACCAGAGAGAGAGAGAGAGACTAGAGACCAGACAAAGAGAGAGGCCAGAGATAGAACAGAGAGAGACCAGAGACATAATACTTTCTCTCTCTCATGTCTCTCTCAGTCCAGAGAGAGACCTGCTTGTGGAGCCAGGGCCTGGACTTGATCTTACCTCGGGTCGGTTCTGAGCGAAGACTCCGATGAACTGGTCTGGGTTTGGCTCACAGCCCTGGTGCAGCAGCCCGGATCCCAGGTTCTCCGCCCGCACACTTACCTGCAGCAGATTTATTTATTAATCACAGATCACACAAACACTCAATCTAACTTTACTCTACTCTACTCTACCCTACTCTACCCTACCCTACTCTACTCTCCTCTACCCCACCCTGCCCTACCATCCTCTACTCTACCCTACTCTACCCTACCCTACTCTACTCTACCCTACCCTACTCTACCCTACCCTACTCTACCCTACCCTACTCTACTCTACTCTACGCTACTCTTCTCCACCCTACTCTACTCTAACCTACTCTACTCCACCCTACTCTACTCTACCCTTCCAGACTCTACCCTACCATACTCTACCCAACTCTACCCTACCCTACCCTACCCTACTCTACCCTACCCTACCCTACTCTACTCTCCCCTGATTGGGAATGTTTCCTCTGGTCCTGTGTGACCAGTACCAGGTCCTTCTTAGTCCCTCTTGGTCCTGGTTCTATCCAGGCTGAGCTAGTACTAAAGTGTTCTAACTGACAGTGATTGACCAGAGGTTACAAAGGAATTTCTCTGGATGCTGGTTTGTTGTTAGAGTAGAGTGACACGGTTACACAGACACATCATGGACATTTACAAGGAGTATGACGGGATGAGTTATTCAGGGAAAGTTAATCAATAGAAACTAAATGTATAAAACAATCTATTTGATAATTTTCCATGAATCATTAGTTTCTGTTTTGACTTTTCTGCTGATGCCGCCTCAGGCCTCAGTCCTGCTCAAACCTGCTCCATGGAAAGCCACAGCGGAAAACTCTGGAGGAAGATCGTTCCGGAAGTTTGTGAAATCCATTACAGTTAATGCTATTTTTAGCGCCCAGACCGTTCTCTCTCTGCACCTGCTTTTAAACAGCAGCTTCAAGCTGCTGTTGGAGCAGCAACCCACCTCCTCTCCATCACCGCCTCTTCAGTGGAGGATCATGTCATGTCTCTGGCTCAGCTTCCTTCTCTCTCAGGGTCTAGACCCCGAGGGGTTCACAAGCTCCTGAACCTCCTGCAGCAGTTCTCCTGCTGAGGTCTAACCTCCAAGATCAACACTTCATGTTCCAATGCTATAAATATATTAGACCCAACCATGTGTCTATGGGTTTAGTTTCTACTCATGCATGACAATAAATATAATTTAATGCAATCTTTGTCCCGAGTTTTCTCAGATTAAAATGTCTTTTTCAATTAAACGTGGGAAATCTCATTCATAATTTTCTTTGGAGCAACGTTAGTTTCTGTTTCTTATCCAGATTCAGCGTCTGCTTCTTCTCAGTCCTGCTCAGACCTGTCCCTGCGGAAAAATCTGGAAGTTGTGAAATCCAGTTCATGCTATTTTTTGTCCCTAAAAATAGCATGCAAAAATAGCATACTTTTCCGGTGTTTATTAGATTCTGGAAGATAACTAGGGATGAGACTTTTTTTGTGTGGAAATAATGCGTTAAAAAGGTAAAGAAACGTGTTGTAGTGATGTCACATGGAGCAGTTTATTCACCTCTCTGTACGACAGCCATTTGTACGGCTGGTTCGGGAGCCGAGAGCCGAGGCACGGGCCGTCACCTGGAAAACACAAACCACAGCCTCAGTCCTGGATCCACAGCTCAGTCCTGGATCCACAGCCTCAGTACTGGATCCACAGCCTCAGTCCTGGTTCTACAGCCTCAGTCCTGGATCCACGGCCTCAGTCCTGGATCCACAGCTTCAGTCCTGGGTCTACAGCCTCAGTCCCGGGTCTACAGCCTTAGTCCCGGATCCACAGCCTCAGTCCTGAATCTACAGCCTCAGTCCTGGATCTGCAGCCTCAGTCTTGGGTCTACAGCCTCAGTCCTGGATTCACAGCCTCAGTACTGGGTCTACAAATACATTGGGTTGAATCAACCAGGACTAAACCAGGACTAGACCAGAACTAAACTAGAACTAAACCAGGACAAAACCAGGTCCAAACCAGGTCCAAACCAGGACTAAACCAAGACTCACCGGCGATGTTGAGGCCTCTCTGGAACACCTCGTACAGTGTGCGAGCATCATCGTGATAATGTGTGAGCAGATTGGTCCGGTCTCCCATCATTGATCTCCGCCCGCCTCCTTCATTCTGAGCAGGGGAGCACACAAACAGAGAAACACCAGTCAGAGACCAGTCAGAGACCGGAGAGAGACCAGAGAGAGATCAGTGAGAGACCAGAGAGAAAGATCTGACAGAGACCAAAGAGAGAGAGAGACCAGAGAGAGACCCTCACCGGGACTTCCTCGGACTGGTGCTGGAGGCTGCAGGGTGGGCTGATGGGTCTGGGTCTGGTGGTGAGCCAGTAGGCCAGCACGGCGGTGAGGGCCCCGATCCCGACCAGAGCTGAGGCTGGCAGAGACCGAACCCACTGGCCCCAGTCCTCGGGGACGCCCAGGCCGGTCATCAGGTCCTGAGACTGCATCCTCTCCATCAGCGTCGAACTCAGCTCTATAACAGAAACAAGAGATGGTTAGAGTTAACTCAGATTCAGATTAGACAAATACATAAATTAAACAAGCTAAAAAGTACAGGAATAAAATAAGATCCATCCGGTCTCTCTCTGGTCTCTCTCCCCGGTTTCTCCTTCTCTGGTTTCTCTTTCTGTGGTTTATCTCTCTCAGTTTAATCTCTCTTACGGTCTCTCTCTAGTCTCTCTTTCTCTGTTCTCACTCTCTCTAGTCTCTCTCTCGTCTCTCTCTGGTCTCCCACTCTCTAGTCTTTCTCTCTTTCGTCTCTCTCTAGTCTCTCTCTCTTTCGTCTCTCTCTGGTCACTCTCAGATTCAGATTCAGTTTATTTGCACAAGAAAATATGTAAATAAAACAAGCCACAAAAGAAGAGAAACAATTGTCACTGTGAAACCCATCAACAAAAACAGCATCAATACAAGATTATGGATTGGTCTGGTCTAGTCTGGTCTGGTCTGGTCTGATAGTAGTAGTCGTTAAATCCTGAAACCGTTGGCCTAAAGTCGCTGACTCAGAGGAAACAAAAGTTGATAAAAACCACAGACGCCGCAGATGCAGAAGAGGTTTAGACGTCTGAGTCAAAGAGAGGAGATCAGCAACAAGAGATAAAAGATTAAAATATAAACACATATAAAAAAAAAAAGTGATATTAAAAAAGCTATACCCGATTTATTTTTCTAATGAGTTCATAAAAATGCTTATTACTACATACAAGTTGTATGTAGTAGTAATTATAATAAAAACAGCCCAAACGACACAACAGTGGGGAAGAGAAGAAATCAAGCCTGGGTGAACATAGCTAGCTTACATCGTATCCTTTGGAGAGACTTGTCTATGGGAGAGACCTGCGGGACCGCCTCGAACTATCTATGCTTGGACTACATTTGGACGCAAAACTAGCAGTAATCTTTCAGTTATGTGCTTTTGTACCATTTCCTCAGTGATTGTTGAACAGCTTAAAGGAATGCGCTAATGCTAATGTTAGCATATGTAACAGATCGCAAATAAAACTAGATGGCTTTGTGGAATGAGAGCATAGGGGAAATGAGAGACCTGTGAGCGAGTTGAGGGGCGTTGCTAAACATTCAAACTGAAAAAACCTTGCAGAAAGAGTATATGATCTCTCTCTGGTCTCTCTCTGGTCTCTCTCTGGTCTCTCTCAGGCCTCTCTGGGCGACACCTGTAAACAGTACATATATCACACTCATAAATAATGTGACAGTACCATGTGGCTCTGTTATGGTGTGAGTCACACACACACTTCCTGTCTGCGCCTCCACTTCCTCCTCTATCACGAAGAGCGAGCCGTGGGAACAGAATATCTCTAACTTAAAGATGTTTCCTCCTCCACCCTGTCACGAGACCTGCTTCCACCAGCCCTACTCTACTCTACTCTACTCTACTAGAAATTATTGTCACCTATATTTATCTACATTATTATAATTTTGTCATTACTAAATATTTCACATCAATGCAAAGTGATAGAAGCATGGTATAAGTGGGTAACACATATAGGAGAGGAGAGAGGCAATAGGGATGCAGCCTAACTGAGTGACATATAGGAGAGGAGAGAGGCAATTGGGATGCAGCCTAACTAAGTAACATATATAGGAGAGGAGAAAGGAAATTGGGATGCAGCATAACTAAATAGCACATATAGGAGAGAAGAGAGACATTTGGGAGGCAGCCTAACTAAGTAACATAATATATAGGAGAGGAGAGAGGCAATTGGAATGCAGCCTAAGTAACTTATCCAGGAGAGGAGGGAGGAATTTGGGATAAGGCCAATGTGACATGTAGAGGAAAGCGACATTTGAGATGTGGCCTAAGTTACACATATAGGAGAGGAGAGAGGCATTTGGGATGTGGCCTAAATTACACATATAGGAGAGGAGAGAGGCATTTGGGATGCGGCCTAAGTTACACATATAGGAGAGACGCGATTCTTGGCTTGCAGACACGTTCCGGTTAATGAAGTGGTGGTCAGGCATGGATCTATAATAATAACTGGATAGGGTATTATTAGCTTAGAGCTGTCCCACCTATGGGCACAGGGGGCGCCTGTGGTACTGCAAACTAAAATCACGTGAGCTACCCAGAAAAAAGTCCCATAGAACTCAATGTAAATTAAAACAGCTTGACCTCAGCTGACAGAGAACCTACAGCTTTCAGAAATATCGGATTTTGTGGGGATTTTAGTGTCCCTTGTCGTGCTGAACTTTTTTTCATCTTAAATCCTTCTGTTTTTTTTAAATCCACACTTTACCGCCACAAACTCTGCTCCTTTCCTTCCCACTCTGACTCTGCTCTGCTGCTGCTCTGATGAGCAGCTCTGATGAGCAGCTCTGATGAGCAGCTCTGATGAGCAGCTCTGATGAGCAGCTCTGATGAGCAGCTCCGATTGGTCAGAGCACAGCCGAGTCCCTCTGTGCGTGTGCATGAAAGCCATACATGCGTATTTGGCGCAATGCATCATGGGAGCTCGTCCACAGCGCAGAACCGGGAGGACCAGATATAGGCGAGTTCTGCTAATCTCCTGGTCTCCGTGAAGTCCCATGCGCTACTGAACACAAGCCATTCATTTGAATAGGGCGCCATCTTGGATCATCGGGGCTTGTGGTCAGGCCAACAAAAATTGCTGCTGATATGCGAAGAAAATCGCATATCTTCCGAGTATTTTTGTGCTTTTTTGGATACTTTGAAGCTACTGTGGTTAAAGTTCTAACTCATCATTCTAATAATATGCACAAGGCAGTATTTTTCCACTATGTTTTGGTTATGTACACAATCCCAGACCGTCATTTTCTTCACTTGAGATTCTAATTCTCGAGATCGATCAAAGTCAAATTGTGTAACGTTATAGATTCTAATGCGTTATCCAAGAATGATTTGATTTGGAAGTTAGAAAAATACCCGCCAGTTCAGTTCCCGGATATCTCTAACTATGTAGTTTCGCACTAGCTTGCACTTTAAACAAATGATGGCTTGGAAAAGTATGGATGCTACAACTGTCTGTGGGTGGGTTAAGGAACTCAGAGTTAAGGTCCTGAAGGACAAATCCTGCGAAAGAGCCGTGTAAGTAACGATTGGTGAATGAACTTGTCATTCTCAACAAAACGATGCGTCAACAACTCATACCTGAAAGTTCATTAAAAAAAGATGGGGATGTAATAACTGCGTATTGTCACTGCATGGCTCGGTCAAGCGTTTGCTAGTGAAATATTAGCGAGCCAGTTTTTTCGGTGTCTTTTCGTGAAGTCCTTAGTGCGAGGTTTTTATTAATTTCTTCACGAGGAACCCTTAATTATCCTTTATCGGTTTCAAGATTCGATCAGTTAGAACAAACTAAATAACACACACAAACGGCATATTCAACACGCTGCTCTAGGGAACAAGCTCAGCCAACCACCACTTCGTGATACGCATAAGTAATGAGGCGGACGTGTAGTCAATTACAAGCAAGCAATTGGGATGTGGCCTAATTGACTAATTGACTAATTGACACTTAGGAGAGGAGAGAGGCAATTGGGATGCAGCCAAACTAAGCAATAAAGAGAAGTGAGGCATTTGGGATGCGGCCTGAGTAAATAACATATGCAATACAGGACCAGAGAGGATTTTACTTATTGTAAATGTTTTTAAGTGGTAGGGGAAACTGGAACACCCGGAGGATACCTACACAGACATGGGGAGAACATGCAAACTCCACACAGAAAGGCCCCGTTCTTCCATGAAAAGCTAGAGTGTTAAAGGGCCTATATCACGGTTTTTGACTTTTCTCTGCTTTAAACATGATTACAATGCTATTTGGCCTTCATACACAAGCCCACAGTAGTTTATTCATTGATTCTGTCAATCTTTTGTAAGAGAGCAATCTGTCTGCTTCCCCAGCGTGAGGCACAGAAACGCTCGGGTCCACTTCAGTGACGAAAACCACACTGATGACGCGCATGACCCCGTTTGCTTTGTATTTAAAATAGTTGTTAAATACTTTTGTTAAAAACGGGGTAAACAATACACAATTAGTATGCTGTTTTTTGTCAAAAATAATAAAAATAAAAATAAATTAAAAGCCGGCGGGAGGTGATTGACGGATCAAAACAGCGAATCAGAGCGCTCCGGCTCCCGAGTCCAGCGTCTGTGGTCTGGTCTCGCGGACACCACATAGAGCTGCTGTTTTTATGCTTTTGTCAGCAACTAAAAGTGTTAGGATCACGTCAACTTGAATGAAGTGTGTTGTGGGTGTAAATATGTGACACACTATTTGGCCCTAAGAGGAAGAAAGCGGCTCGACTTTTTTCATCTGTTCATCTCATGGATCTATTATAATACCGGTTCATCTGCGACACTTCACTGAGACTGTTCCAGAACTACAGGGACAATGGAACTGGACTTACTCAAAAGCTGATCTGGAAACACGTTATTCCCACGGTAAAAGACGTAACTTGGACCCCCTCGATCTGTAAGTAGTGACGCCAACTCGCTGTATACTTCTGTAAATTAAATAACTAGGGTCTGATTGTGCATCGAGGACATAAGGCTCGATGTGACGGATTGTCATTGTTGGAAAAAGTTTATTATGTATGAAATTACTAAGTACAGGTGATAAACAACAAAAGCGTGATGCTACGTCACCGTGCGGGCGGGGGGAGGCGGGCTCACAGGCAGAGGAGCAGACTCTTCTCTGGATCAGCTCGTTTGAGTCGAGGTGACGTCACCTCTATACAAGAGATGGCTCTAATCTCACAAGCTTTGATTGTTGTGTGGTGTATCATACACATTAATATCACACATGTGTATAGGATTGAGTGTGAAACATGAAGAAAAGCGTGATATAGGACCTTTAACTTTTCTGCCACTGCTGCTGTGTGTGCCATATGTGGAGGTAATTCTGTGAATAAAGGTCACTGTGGTATGAACAACGATCTGGTCTCTCTCTGATCTCTCTCTTTCTAGTCTCTCCCTTTGATCTCTCTCTTTCT